TCTTAATTAGTAGATACATGACATGATGCAACATTTTTTTTTATTACAACGTCTTAATTGTAAAAGACTGCCGGATACATATAGACATCTAACATAACAATGTCTATGAATTTTATTACCACAAAAATAATTTTGTAATGGTAAAGTTATCCAGACAAGTGCATTTTTCTATTTATAGATTACCCATTTATACACCAGAATGGGTACTTATTATACATTAATAAAGCACGTGATGTGTCTTTAAATAGAATAATTATATAAAAGCATGATATTTTAATAGTTTATTATTCCATTTTACCATCATGTTTGTAATGATGTATAAAGCTTGAAATACTACAGGGAAATGTTTCATTTTATACTATACTTAAATACATTAGGTATGTTTTTATATTCTTATACTTATTTGATTGATATGTATTTTTTAATATAAATAATATTTTTAACCCCCTACGCAAAAAGAGGGGTGTTATAAGTTTGACATCGATGTCTGTTTGTGTGTGTGTGTCTGTCTGTGGCGTCGTAGCTCTCAAACGCATGGACCGATTTCGATGCGGTTTTTTTCATTCGAAGCCAGTTTCCTTGCGGTGGGTCTTAGCTTGTTTGGTTTATATCAGTCCAGCAGTGTAAGAGTATCAGCTCTTTTCCAAAATGATGTAAGACATTTTGGTGTATGATTACTCGATTAAGTGCTTCTCGCGTGCCAGTGTAATCATTAAATGACAATTAATTTGCGTAGGGGGTTTTTTTAATTTTTAATTGATGAATACTTATAAATATTAACAAAATATCTTATAATACTAATAATATATCACTATATTAATATAAATCTACACATCTTTACAATCATGGAAGATCGGTTAGCCTAGGTTGGCATGAGAATAAGAATCCTTCGGGATCTCTGGGTATAAATGGTTCTCACGCAAAAAACATGTATTTAACATTCTTTTATGTTTGCTTCGTCGTGAAAGCTGGAATTCAAAAGTTCAATCGTTATTCAACATAAGGTTTCATTTAAATGGTCAATAGGTATCGTTACATGATAATATATTGTTTGGTAATCCTGAACCCTTGATGCTCGAGTCCAAATCGCAATATATTTTTTTTGTTTGTCTTTCTCGGTATCTTAAGAATTAAAAATCATGTCTACCCGAGATGCGATTTTAATTAAAAAGGAAGTAATGCTAATCGTACTAAATACATTATATTATTGTGTAGTGTACTCATCTTCAACTATCATACTCGTATAATAATTATTGTTTCAGATTTAATTTTTATTTTTATTCTCTAGTAAGTAGTTATTTATTTTCTTATAATATAAGCATAAAAAACATTAGAATCTAAACGAAAAAACTTATACCAAAAATAATAAACGAAAGAACGTTCATGAATGAAATCTTTTTCATGAATGAAAAACTTCTATAGGCAGGTTTGGATGGGTAGTAAATTCATGTAAGTCGTCGTCGACATGGTCACGTGACGTGTTAACGCTAACACTCTAGAGTGCCGATAGATGTCAAAACCAGATAAATGTAAACGGTTTTAATTTACAAATTTTAATTTAAGATCAAACAAATAATTTAAATATCCAAAAATAACAACTGTTTGTTTATAGTTTTAAGTTTTCACTTCTGTCGGCAGTCCTCATGACTGCGTTTTTTAAATTTATATAACGAAATAAACAGGAAGTAAAAGCTAAATTCTACAAATACCACAATCAAATCGCTTTCGATTAGGTATATTTCAAACGCAGAGACTATCTAACTGGTACTAAGTACGAGTATAAGCGGTAGATTATAAGAGTACTAATGCGTATATACGAGTTTAATAACGAAACACAAGTACTACAATTACAGATAATATATTGTTATCACATTGCGAAAGGACCGGGATAACAGTTCACTTTCCCACGAGCCCATCCTAGCCAATCCCATCTCTACAATAGATCAACAGTTTTCACACTATCGTTGTGCGTGATCGGTCATGAAAGAGTCCCGTTAGTACGAGATGAATGAATTTCCGCATTCATGCGAGGAAATGTCATTCAGATAAATAGGTACCTTTCGCCTTAGTTTTCAAATAAAACTTTACCTAAGTATGTATTATATTATAGTTTACTATATTTAATTATATTTTAGCTTTCGTATAGGTCAACTCAACCATATCTCGCGGTACCGCTTGTACTGTTCGTAAATCGACGTCATCGGGAATGTGAATTAGCAAAAAATACTTTTATTAAAATTTCATTGCATTAAGTATTTTTAGTTCGCAAAACAGATAAACACATCGAAATTTCAATGACATGAAATATTTTTAATATCCCTTGGCTAAGAAAAAAGCTAAGGTATAACACTTACATCCAAATAAAATTCTCGGTAAATGAATGAAATTAATATTATCACGCTAATCTAGAAAATAAATTGCTTATAAAATAAATTGCTATATCTAAACATTAAGTTTTTTAGTAGAAAATGCTCTAACCATGCTTAGATTTTTTTATTAACTTCAGCTTACGATATTTTTTTTAAATTATTGGAAGATTGAATTTAAAAAAATCTATATTGTTAAATCATTACTTTTACTTATACATAATTTATACCTAAAAAATCGAATTTGTTGTTGTTTGAGTTAATATGTATAGCCCTTGACTTAAAAAATTGTAAAATATTACCTTATGGTCTAGTAGGTAGATATAATTAGTACACAGTAGATCAGGAGATGTAATTTGTAATTCTGCGCAATCAAGTTGATCTTGAAGGCTGGCTTAAGATTTTTATTGAAAATAACATGTCTATCTATCTTAACTGTTATATATTATGTAAATAAAAAAAAATGTTAAATAAAAAACATTCCAATATTTCATTTTTTTCCTAACAGCATTAAAATATTAACAAATCTGCTTCCTAGGCAGAAAGCGATTTGTACAGATAACTGTTTAAAATTTAGGCTACGTCATTAGTCAGATTGCTTTGACGAGGACATCGGTCAGCCACAAAACACAGGAAATAGACATCCGCTTTCCATCGGCACAATTTTTGGAAACGCCAAATTTTTTATACGGTCCTTCACGCTTTTGTCATGTAGATTTCAATTTTATTTCATGTTTATTGTAATTTAAAAACATGGGTGAATCATCTTTAACTTAATGTGCTATATATCACACGAATAAAATACCAGTATTTCGTAAACACGGTATTTCATAAATAATATTATTACATTCTGAGCTTAACGCAAATAATGTTAAAGCAATAAATATTTTCAAAAGAAAACATCTTTTATATAATGAGACATATGCTAGATACGCCGAGGATAACTGTGTGTTGTCTTCCTATATTTTCTTTACGCAAGAAAAAAAAATCACCCTGAGAATAAGTATTATAAAATCAATGCTAATTGTTAATTTGGATGATCTTGACAAATTTCTAACAAGGGTTAAGTAAAAAAAACAAAACATCTAGTCGTAGGTAAGTCATTCAAATACTAGGTAGGTCCATATAAAAATAATCATATATTACATTCGTTTGGTATTACAATAGTTATTGGAATTTATGTATGTTTGTTTAATATCACAGAAACTTCTAAAAGTCATATACTAAACTTCGTTTTAATGGGTTTCGTAGATCCTAAAAGTATTAACTAGCTTGAGCTTTCTATATTAAATATTTTGTTATAACAGAGATCAAGTTTATTGGTTGTGAACTTGGTAGAATTATAAAGAAAGTCGTTTAACATAATAACCGTAACGAAGTAGGAGTAAGTTTATATTATTACAAACAAAATAAATCAGAAATAGATAGAAGCACAGACTATATTGTACGTACGAGTGAGTATATGTAGTTAATTTGTAAGTAGAGGCCACAACTCTGAACAATGTTAATTTATTTTCAGACTTTTGCATTTTACTTTAATAATAATAAGTGCAATGACTATTTTATGAAAAGCCTAACAGTACATAAATAACATATATAATGTATATTTTCTATTCGGTTTAAACATCTAAATAAGCAGGCCTTTGTTGAGAACATGATACATCAATATTTAATGGCAAATACAGAGCAAATACAACAGCAGTCATTATTTTCATTGCGATATTACTCTGATAATGTCGAAGCATAATGCTGGGTCCCGTTATTTAGCTATAAACGAGTAATTTGTTTTAGACCTAAATTATATGAATGTACATACCTATTTAAACAATTTAGAACTTAGAACTTGATTGATCGATTGTATGAAATTTTGTTTGTTATTTGCTCCAACTTTCATCTAATCATAAGATTTTTCTATTAAAATAAATTAAAACTGCGAATATTTGTCGCGTTTCTTACTTATCGTCCACAGATAGTCATGTTAAACTGTAGGGACAAAAGCTGTATTATCTAGGCGTTGCAGATATTTAATGTTACGTGAAGCAAAATATTTATTCAACCTTGCTCCCGATTGTCCCTACATTCATACGGTGCAGCCAACCGATGATTTTGCATCGTGTTTATACATGATATTCTAATATTTTGTTTGGATTTTTATTTACAAGCACGATACTGGTTTCTTTTTGGTACCTACATTTTCAATTTTAAATGTTTTTCTTTAAAACGTATTATTCATGTTAATGTAAGAAATAAATATAAAAATATATAAACAATTTGCCTTTCTTATATAATTAAAATAGCACGTACAAATATTGGTGTTTTGCTTAGTCTGGGCAATATCTTGTTTTTCTCGTTATCTGACGATGGATTTAACAAACATTTGCTATTGTTAAATCCATCTATTGCAGATAAACAATAATACACATCTTAAACTTTGTTTTCGTCCAATAACTTTAATGCTTCAATTTCTTTTATCTAACCTTAAATCTTTTTAAAGAGTTTTTATTTATTTCTTAATGTGAAGATAAATTTGTTAATCTTGCCCAAATAATTTTAAGAAATGATTGCTTTATTGCATACTATGTTTAAAGGACCTATGCAACGTCGGTGACGCGAAGATTAGAAGCAAATAAGAAGATGAAGCCCCGGGGGGCGAGCGTCATGCACGCCTTCACTGCTCTCACTATGCTCACGATGGCTAATGGTACCTCGAAATATAATATGTAAGAATTGTAAAAAAAAAATATATTTATTTCACAATTAACGTTTATATCCCTTGCAGCTCAAACTACTTGTAACCAAGGTATGGGAAGAGTAATGTATGAGAGACTACCAAACCAGCAGCTACATGGATTTGACGACGACGTCGTAAGTATACAGCCATTTTAATTAAAAAATCTAGGACCTGCAATTTTTTTAAATTTAACTTACTATTATTTTACTTTAGATACGTGAAACAGCGCCGCCATTTCGCGTTCTCGAAAAGTGCCAGGACCTGTGTTTACGAGATCGCTCTGGAAACAGTTTAGTTAGAACGTGCAACTCTATTGATTTTCAACCTGGGGCTCGCATTGCTGCTTTTAGTCCAGAGCCTGAGTATGAAGAGTCTACTTGTTACTTGACTAGGGAACAGGCTGCGCCCGAGGGCATTGGCACACTTATGATCGTTCCCAATAGCGTGCATTTTAACGAAATTTGCTTAACATGTAAGTATTTTTTTTAATCTCTTCTGCGATAAAGGATTCATGCTGCATTATATATGCGTATATGTGTTTAATGAACTTCAAATATCTATTTACCCTTGTATTATATTTATAGTTGCGTGTCATGAACGTTGTACAATATATTATAATAGTTAAAAGAAATTGTTTGAAATCAGAAAGCATAATGGACCTATATAAATTAAACAAAATTTGCCGTTATCGTTTCAAGAAATATAATACTAAAGTGAATTAATTTTCGCAAATGAAATGAAAAAAAAATGAAAGAAATATATAATTGCAGCAAAAACCGATCAATCAGTTTTATCATGACACAAACAATATTGTGCGTATCAATTGATGTTTTGAGCACACTTGTTGTCTATAATACATGTAATATATGTATATTATACGCAAAAAGTGTACTCTAAATTCCAATTGTCGTTTAAACATTTTATTCGATTCAAAAAATCTTATGTTTAGTAGAAATCGTGTGAATGGGTTATAAGATTAAGCTAAATGAATCATATTTTTTAAAGAAATTTAAAGAGTGTTTTAGGAATAAATTGAAGGCCTATTAATCTGTTTTTTTTTTAAATCTAGGTCATGTACTGTGGTCTTGAAGATAGGGAGAATGCCAAAATTTTTGTAGTGATCTTTCTTTAATACTAGTTCCCATCTTTACTTTTTAAGTGCAAAATCCTTAGTACCTAATACACCAATATAATGAAAAATATCAGAATAACAATATATAATTAAAATTGTTTAATCGGAAAACACTTTTCGTAGCAAATCGTCCTGAACGTGAATGTCCATCTCGCCGGTACGTTTTCGAAAGACACGCTCGTAAACGGCTGAAGCTTCCACCATCAGATTTAAAAGAAATTATGGTGGCAAATAGAACGGAATGTGAGGATAAATGCTTGGGTGAATTCAGTTTTGTTTGTAGATCAGCCACTTATGATTCCGCTTTGAGAACTTGTTCGCTAAGTAGATTTACTCGAAGAACCCACCCAGAACTTTTGGAGGATGACCATAATGCTGATTATTTAGAAAATACATGTCTTAACGGTAAGATAAAGATATATGAGTTAATATTTATATGACAATCAATAAAAATAGGTGTTCTTTACTTATGTTGATAATTTTTTATAGCCGAACGTCGCTGTGACGGCCTTGCTGTTTTCATTAAGGAAGAGAATAAACGACTAGGAGGGCCTTTCGAAGCTGATGTTTTTTCAAATATGACACTTGATGAGTGTCAAGCTATGTGTGTTCGAGCTGAAAAGTAAGTAAATTCATCATTCAATCGAAATTCATCGGAAAATATAACGATAACCGTATTTTGTTTAATATTATATAATTTAAGTATATTTTTGGCAGTACATTATACAGTAATATTTTTAATTTAACATATAAAATATTATAAATTTATTTATAATGTACTAGATATTTTTGCCGATCAATCGAGCACGATGCAATGACTCGACAATGCGTCCTTTCTGAGGAAGATTCTGTTTCTCAAAAAGACGATGTGACTGTTAGCGCATCGCCCACGCATCATTTCTACGATCTCGTTTGTTTAGATAATCGTAAGTAGAATCTTTAGAATTTTCTGATACGAGTACTATATTATTTGGTAAATTACTTACCTTGCGTATATCGTGCAAAAACATGCGACACACGAGTAAAAGATTTACATAAATGAATGTAATGTATTTTAATTTTTAAATGATAAAAAATGAGATTAAATGAAATGAAAATGTTAATATTACACAAAATTTTTATTTACAAACACAACAAACAACTTTGACAGTAAGTAAGTAAATATTTTGCACTGCACTTAAATTCTCATACATTTAATACTTAACAATTAAATCAGTAAACCTGACAACCATCTTAACATATATATAAGTCGGTGATATTAACATAATAAAATCACAATAAGGTTTCTCTCGCAATGATTAGTCTCTCATCGGGTGACAGCTCGCGGGACTGAGTATCCGGATAACAGTGTGACGTCACACCTGTTCTCGCCGGGCCGGAGACCGGACACCGCCTTCCAGAGGTACAGGAATAGCAGAATAACGGGAGAGTTCCACTCGGAGATCACTGGGCGGTCGCTGAGCGAGTGCTTGGACGAATGCCTGAGGCAAACCAGCTTTCAATGCAGGTAAGATTCAATGATAAAAATAACAAATTGTGTAAGTATATTATCGAATTTTTAAGGAATTTAAAGACTTAACGTTTTCATTATATTTTTTCCTGTAAAGAGCATCTAAGCCTTAAACCAAACCTTGTTTTTTCAAAATTCTAGACTAGTTTCTCAAATGAGCTAGAGCTACAGGGTTGTAAATACAATTTAAAAATTAAAATTAAATAAAATTGTGTATTTCTCATTCATACGTATTATCATAACAATCTCGTTCGTATATATCTCGTTTATAATTTATATTTTACATTTTTTTAGGATCGGAACTAAAAATGAACAAATTTTTTTCTGATAAATCAGAAAATTATAAGAAGTATGTCGTAATTATTATTTTATCGATTTAGCCTTGAAAAGATTATAATCAAACATACAATGAAATGCACTTTCGGATTCGCAACAGTAGTAAAGATAATTTATACAAGATATCGATAAACGTATATTGTTGTTAATTCATGGATCTTTATATAATACTAGCATTGTCTGCGGCTCCGCCCGCGTAGGTTTTAATTAGTATACTCTTACATTGCAGTTTTTGTATTTTTTCTCAGAGATGAGACATTTTCCCGAAGTAAAAAGTATCCTATATGTTGACCCGGATAGCCAGCTATCACCATACCAAATTTCATCAAAATCACTCCAGTGGTTTTCTCGTGATGCGGTAACAGACAGACAGACAGATAGACAAACAAAAATTCTAAAAACTATAGATTCGGCCTCTGTATCGATAATAATGTTTATTTCAATAAGGTTTTCCAAGAATTATTTACGGTATATACAGGTTCGGCTTAATTACAATTTTATTATATGTATAGATAGATGTATGTGTGTTCAATATAAAATAGATTATAGATCTGTAGCTGTAATTCTCTTCTAAGTAAATTGAAGTTATCTAATTTTAACTTTTCGTCATATTTTATCTAACTGCAGCTACATACATATACATACATTTACGTAAATGTTTTATAGCAATGCGCGTTCGAGTAAGACTGAACATGTATAATAACAAACAAGTTACATATAAACCTTAGCGTGCAATATCAAGGTTGTAGGTTTAGATATGCAGGTCGGTAACCAGTTTAGTTCTGTTATGTTCTTTTAATATTCTAGATTCGATAAAGTTATTTAAAACTAAAGTAATAAGTGGAGCGATTTCGAATAGATATAAATTTCTTGTATAGGTAATGTAGGTATTCACATTTATTTCAAATCCATCATATATCGAGGTTGATGTTGAACGTTGAATATTTTATTTTGAAAAAAGTTTAAGGGATCTTAACTCTGATAGTAGAGATATTTTGATTAAATTATATTCATAATATACGTTCGTACCATATAATTATCTATACTTCTATACTTATATTATAAAGAGGTAGAGTTTGTGAGTTTGTGAGATTGTGAGTTTGTGACGTTGTTTGGGGTAATCTCTGGATCTACTAAAACGATTTAGATGAAATTTGCTAAGAAGATAGTTTGAGACCCTGGGAAGGACATATGGTAATTTTTATCCCGGAAATTATCACTTAAGGGGGTGAAAATGGGGATGAAAGTTTGTATACGGAAGCAAGCAACGAACTCGAGCAAAGCGAGGGTGTGTCGCTAGTTCTTAATAAAAAAGGAGAATATTTATTATAGTAATATTATAGCAAATATATAATATAGCATTCGTACGCATATTTAAAGATGTTCGTTTACTTTGTTTGTTTTGATAGTATACTTTCCATTACAAGTAATTATTCATGTGTACTATTCTTTAAAATTTAAATTGTCATATTAAGTTCACTAACCGATTACATGACATATATTTGTGTCTCTACTTAGTTATCCGTTTGAATAACAACTAACGATCAATGTACCAATATTAATTAATGATTTGTGTTGTAAATTATAATAATATTTATATGTATATACATTAAAATTAATCAGATTTATTTATCAACTTATTACATCATAATATTTAATTATTTATACCATATCTTATTTAACTTAATTTATACTCCATAAATTTAATTTTTAAGTTTATTTCAAATAATGCCAGCCTCACCAACTGAATATTTATTTTGTCTGTCTCTATATAATATATAATATATTTCTGTTACTGGTAGGCGTGTAGAGTAGATATCGGGCGTGTAGAGTATATATTACTACTTACAGATCAGCAGTATACAGCGATCGTGCCAGAACATGCAGGCTCAGTCGATACAATCAAAAAGATGGAATGAGGTTGCTGTACGACCCAGACTTCGATTACTATGAAAACCTTATGCGTAAGTAGTCGTATATGTACCTACTGGTGTTTTAGTTTAAAAGCGACTATAGAGCAGGTCGATTCGTTGAAATTTTATTAAAATGTTTAAATCTAAGTATGTAGATATATTAATTTTATATTTAATATGAAACTTTAAAAGATATTACCATGTGTAGTGTATAATCGCAGAGCAACTGTAAGTCTTATGTAGATTTTCTAGAATGTTACTTACTAGAAAACTAACATGTTATTCATTGGAATGTTGATTATGTTATGATTTTTTGTTACCGATAGAGAAAGTAAAAGTTAGAAAACAATCTGGATATACTTTTATCTATGTACATATTAAACCTATTCCGGCGGAAGATATCAATAAAGGAACGACAGTTAATGGTAACACGATACATATAGAGAACTATATTTGCATACTACATATATTTTTAAGTGGTCAATTGGTTTAAGTAAGATCACGTGACATTGAACCCATATTATGATCTAGAAATAGCACAGCGTCATATGATAGCGGTCTATAAGAAGTTCTCTTATTACCAATTTTATAGTAGCGTCGTGGGACGAATTAAAATTAAAATGTGTGTGTGTGTATATATATATATATATTTGTTATTTGACAATAACACCCTTCTCTTATAAAGTATAATTTATCATCACGTACCTATTATTATTTAACAATCGATCAATATCTCTAGATATAATTAGTAAGATTATGGCATAGTGAGGAAAAGTATGTCATTCGTAAGTAATTTAAGGCATTATTGTATCAGATCAACTAGTTAGTGGAGAGACTGACACTGGAAGCTCGGGAGGTGGATCGAAATCGTCTTGGGGTTCCAATTCATCAGGTTCGATAAGCATGGAAATATTGCGATACAAACTTTGTATTTGTAGTTGATTGTTATACTTATATATAGTATATAAGTAATTGCCGTCAAATATAGTTAAAATGCATGAAATTTCTAAATTATTATCTTCGTTTTAAAGGGATATTTGGGTCTTACGATGGTATTTTTATTTACATTTAAGTTGACTTTATAAAATTGTTGTAGTATTTTCTGTGCCGCTTCAGTTTTTTTCTTTAGTCTATTGTAATTAGGTACCACGGGTTCTCAGGTACTTTTATAGCATAATTTTATTTTCTTTATTACACAAAATAAGTAGTGTGTAGTATAATATTATGTTTATAAGACGATGCCTCCTGATAAATAGCATCTTTTTGTAGTTTAGTATTAATATGTAGCATTGTAGATAGCTCTCTAACAAGTAGAAAATCTATTGGCCAATAACATCTTTTGTTGTATTAAGTAATTATTTAAATTTATTTACTAATAAAATAATTTAATTTTCAAGGTGGTAGCAATGGCGGAGATCGTGACAGATATCCGCCAGGCGTAGACCGCTATCCGGATGACGATCGCTATTATGAAGATGATCGCGATCGTGATCGTGATCGTTATCCGTCACGGCCGGACCGGTATCCAGACGACCGCTACCCGGCCGGTCCGGACACATACCCCGATAGATATCCGGGTGATCGATATCCAGCAGACAGATATCCGGATGATAGATACCCAGATGATAGGTACCCTCCTGGTGTAGGTCCAGACCGCTTCCCAACGGACCGGTATCCACCACCGTTAGACAGGTATCCCCCAAGTGTTGATAGATTCCCCGCCGGATACCCAGATAGAGACAGATATCCTGACCGAGATCGATACCCAGTTGACAGTGGACGATTTCCTCTATATGACCCACCAAACGATATTGGTAGATTTCCAGCTAATGACAGGTATCCTGTCAGTAAATATCCTATAGATGTTTATCCTGAAAGACTTCCCCCTGGGCGGTATCCCAATGAACGATTCCCAATGCCTGATAGAGATAGGTATCCTAGACCTTGGTATAACAGATATCCTGATAGGTACGATCAGGACCGCTACCCTGGCACAAATGATTGGGGTCGATATCCATTCGATCGCTACCCAGTTGGCGTAAATCGTGATCCCGTGCCATTGGGCGGCGACCGATACCCTGATTTATATAATAAATATCCGCCGACCGGATCTTCTTACCCTGGTAAGCACACTATTAAAATATATCTAATGTCCGAATGTTGTAGAATATATTTTTTACTTTAATAATTGTTTTTTATACTATTTATTAATTAGGCTATGGACGTGGAGGCTATTATGGTTCAGATTTTGCAGCAGGAGATCGTTTTCCGGCCACTGACCGATTTCCAGATAGAGTGCGTCCTGGAGCTGACAGGTATCATTTTTAACATATATTTAGGTGTACAATTTCTTTAAATATTATTTACAACGTCTAATAATATATTATAGATATCCTGTAGAACCAAGACCACCGTCATTTGGTGTAAGACGACCCTCTGAAAGACCCGGTGGTTATCGCGGCAGCTACCCTCCATCGGGCTTGGACAGGCCCATTGGTAAAGTTTTTGGAAAATAACAAATTTATTTCTAGCTAATTTTAGATATGCATATTTTTGTATTTTTGATAACACGTTTAAGCTAACATTTACCGCATTCTAGGTGGTGGAGGTTATGGTGGATATGAACCAGATGGACCAATTGGACCAGTTAGTGGACCTGTAAATATTCCAATCGGTAATGCTATCGGAGGTCACATAGGCGGGCCGATAGGGGTTCCTATTGGAGGTCCTATAGGCGGGCCTATTGGTGGACCTATTGGGGGACCTATTGGAGGCCCTATTGGGGGCAGACCGCCTATCGGTCAAAGACCATGGCAAGGATCGCGATGTGAGGAGGACAGTTTTAGACAAGTTGGCCGACAAAGAATGCAGCGGCGCTTCGTCCGGCGCTTTACAAATGCTCAATCACTGGCGCATTGCCAACGGGAATGTATTGAGGCTAGAGATTTCATTTGTCGGTCATTCAACTTTAGGTACATATCTTAAGATTACATATTTTAAGTTTTATAATTAATATATATGTTAGTTTTAAGGTATATATGCTATGGACCTCTGTTTACATATTTAAGATCGTTTTGTAAATATTGCCTGAAATAAATGATTAAATAAATAAAAATATCTAAGTAACATTTTACTTAAGTTAGTATATAAAATTATTATATGAGAATATAATGAGATAATAATTATGTACTTAATAGTAATTATGAATACATAAAACCATAATGCATAAAATTATTTAAAAAAAAACAATTTAAAAGAACTAATATAAAGATTTCGGTTTCTTGTTAACGAGACAAAAGATCAAGACCTGCTTTTAAATTATAGGTAATGGGTAAAATAATGAATCAACGATTTTGCAAACAACGTTGCTACCAATACCAAAGAAGTTGATACCAATTAATTTATATTTTAGTATTACTTCGAGTTATTTTATAAAAAGGTAGAGTTATCTCTACATTACAACTATTGACGAACGTTTGTCTCAGTTTGTAGTGACCCTACTTACTGTGCCAGCGGTTGCGGGTTCGAGTCCTACTGGAGGCATTCATTTGTGTGATGAACACGAATCCTTGTACTCTAGTCATGGGTGTTTATATTTATAATTTTATAATATGTACGAGTATGTATTAAAAATTATATATAATATATAGGTAGTGTAGTGTATCAAATATCTAGTATTCATAAAACAAGCCTCGTTTAAGGTAACTTAGCTTACCATGGAACTAGATGGTGCTGGTGTATTAATGTTCTAACATATTTATTTATCATATTTATTTATACCCAAGACGTATTCCAGAGAGGTAGGTTACGGTGCAGAGCCGCGAGACAACTGTGAGCTCAGCGACCGCGACACGCGCGAACTAGACGCGGCCAATCCTGCGCACTTCGACAATACTGCCAATGAGTATGACTTCTATGAACGAGCTTCAGGACGTAGTGCCGAAGATTGTTTGGATGGTAAGGCTTTAATTTTAAGGAATTAGTTAATAGATTGTGTAAAAGAGGATATGTGTGTGAAAGGTGACCATCGATAGAGAGATAATATGAAACAAGAAAACATTTTGTGACGACGACACAACTCCCTGTTTGTAAAAGGAATGCAGCTAACTTCATCATGTCGCTTTTTAGCTGTCGGTGTGCGCATGGGTCGTAAAATTTTTTCCAAACGTGCCAAAAGAAGTATAACTTCAAAAATTACGAATATTTAGGAACTTATTAGGTCTATATAATTTAACCATCTATAATATCCATATATATAGTTACTATTAAACAGTTGATTGATGGTAATCGAACCTACGAGTGTTACTTAAAAAAATAGTTTAAACTGAAAAATAAAACTTGTTTTTAGTGTCACAAGTTTGCAATGAAGATGGTATGGAGTTCACACTTCGTCTCCCCGAAGGTTTCTATGGAAGGATGTACACATACGGATTTTATGATAGATGTTTCTTCCGCGGGAATGGAGGGACTAATAATGTGTTGCGAATAACTGGAGCCCATGGATACCCTGAATGTGGTACTCAACGGGTGTGTTCTATATTATTATTATTATAGATTGTTTTACAAATACTGATCAACATTTTTTTAAAGTAAATAAACATTATTCTATTATATAAAATTAATACATTTTATATTAAAATGGTCTCTCAGTCCCTTTTCTTCGTGCAAAATGAAAATTATTTAATATTCCTCCCAAGCATGCCTTATTAATAGAACATTTTGATAACTCTTAATATTTGCAGTATGGAGATACTATGACAAACATCGTAGTGGTACAATTCAGTGACAATGTTCAAACTTCAAGAGACAAACGCTTCAATTTAACCTGCCTATTCCGAGGACCGGCTGAAGCTGTAGTTACGTCCAATTATATTGGCGCTGGGTGAGATTTACTATTTAACTATTTGAGTCTATTGGGAAAGAGAAAAAAACTTTTTTATCAAATAATATTCAATACGTCTTATTTAAAGCCAGATACGATAAGCCTCATACTTTTTCGTTTATTTTTTTTGTTAATCGTTTATTTTTAATATTTAATTTTTTCTTGTAAATCGAATGAAAATTGAATTTATTATTATTTTGAATCAAATTTCTCTTCTCAATAAACTCATTAAGTACATTTTGTGAATGCGAGAATTAACAGTTAACAGATTGCGTGATTTACCTTTGAGTGTGAGTTACCTTTTTAGATTTTAGAGTGATTTGCTAGAAGCTGTGTTGGGGATTAAGGTTTCTTCAAATTTTCCAGTTTTGTTTGTTGAATTTATGTGTTTGTGTGTTGAGTTTCTTTCTTGTCTGTGCTATTTAGTCATCTAGATGATTGTCTATGGGTTATCCTTTTTTGTATGTTATACTATTTATTGTATTATTTGGAGTGCTGTTATTAACTAACAGCTACTAACGATAAACTTTGAATGAAATTTCTTAAGTATGTACACTATTGTTTTCTTGTTCCTTAAACGGTATATTGTTAAAAGCTACTATCACTTATTTGTTATAAGAGCTTATGACTTCATGGAAAAATATGATTTTTTTTATTATAATCTTAATTTAATATATGTAGATTTCATTCAAAGTTACAAAATCCATTACAAAACAATATCATCTAAAGTCTAACCATAGTTTTGGGTATGACTTGGTCGACAGATCCGGAAGTCCGATACCAATAGAATATCTGCCAGAGGAAAGTTCTCTGAATTCAAAGGTTCGATTATTGATATTGTATCAAGGACGGCCTACGACTACTATAGCTGTTGGAGATCCCCTCACATTCAGACTGGAAGCTCAAGATGGATATAATTATGCAACTGATATATTCGCCACTAATGTGATCGCTAGAGACCCGTATTCAGGAAGATCTGTTCAACTTATTGATAGAGTTGGGTAAGTATTGACATGAATTATCTCGAACTTCTAAAGTGATTTTATTATGGAGCGTTAATAAAAATGTCTGATTTATTAGATACTAGCGGCTCACCCTCAACAAAAACAAATCGATCCCTCTGGAACCGTATCTTTCTCCGGGATAAAAAGTATAAGTGTATGTGTTGTGCCGTATTCCGGGATAAGCCTACGTGTTATTCCAGACTATAATCTATCTCTGCGCTAAATTCTATCCAGATCCGTTCGGCCGTTCTGGCGTGAAAGAGTAACAAACATCCATACTCACAAACTTTCACATTTATTATAGTAGTAAGATAAAAAAATATTTCACATCATTTTTTATTATCATTGTTTCCTACACAAACTTAGTCATCACTTTAGGAGATAAATGTGTCCTTGCTCCTTGGGTTCATTGCTTCGATGAATCGTGACATACTGTATATAAATAAATTAAAAAAAAAATAAAAAAAAACTTTACAGCTGTATATAGGAAATTATGTTGTATTTATTACATTAACATTTAATGATATGACCTTTTTATTGAGCTATGATGAAAATTAATAATCTACAAAGAGAAGTTCCAGAGCAGTTAATAGTTATCTATTATCGCTAGTCTAAGCAATACATTAGTTACACAAGTTTTATTAACTTTCAACTTTCGGCTAGATGCTACAAAGCGAGTGAAACCGCGGTTAAAACTAGTGTGTACTATAATGTAAATCATGTTATTTATCAAAATTTTAAGATGCCCAGTTGATCCAGACGTGTTCCCGGAATTGGATAAAGGACGTAGCGGGGATTCATTGGAAGCGAGATTCAATGCATTCAAAATACCTGAATCGAACTTTTTAGTATTTGAAGCTACAGTTAGAACTTGTCGCGAAGGCTGCCAACCGGTAAGTTTGAACTATGCCCAATTTCACCAACGTTACCTAAGTTTAAGGGATCCCTTAAGCATAGTTAGGGAGCTGTTAGGGGACAGTTTCTGTTTCACCGACAGTTAGGGGTCACCTAAATATTAAAAGGCCCCCTAAATTTAGGTGCTCGAATTATGGGCTTAGAGACGATCGTAAAACGAAATTTAATTTAGGGGCTAGTTTAGGGGACTTTTAAGCTAGGGATCCATACGCAGGTGGTAACTTATGGGTTGTTGGTGAAATCGGGCTCTAGTCTTTTAATAAGCTAACCCAAAATTTGATTAGCTACCTCGTTACTTAAAAGAAAAATTTGGTAGATTTTCAACAGGCATTGTTTCGTCTACATTCAATGTTTGTATTAGTAAATAGTAACGTACTACTAAGCTATATTGTTTTGTATAAACTATTTGACTGTAAAGTTGCATCAAAATGCGTTAAGTAGTTTTCGCAAGAAAAAGTATCTAAGAAATATCCATCCGACACATCCACCCCTCACAAACCTTTGCTCTTGTATTATTATGATAGTACGATATTTCCTATTTACATATATCTATTTTAATAAAAATATGCTATATTAATAAGTTATCGCTACAGATAACTATTTGCGTCAATGGGCTTAATAAAAATATAAGTAAGTACGTTAAATTGTCATAACGTGGGGTTAACTTCAGGCTATCTAGCCGTTTATGTTGATACATATTTATGCTGTTTGAACAAAACATACGAGTATATCTTGTTTGTATTCATGTTTCTAATAATAAACAACAACTATGGCTATTTATGATTCGTTGTTTTTCTAGCTTAAGCTTGAAATGTTTGTCAATTAATTATTATTTTATTATAGTGAACTATAATAAAATAATAATTAATTGACAAACATTTCAACATATATATAACTGCTTCGGTGGTGTAGTGGCTAGCATGTACGGCTGCACACCCGGAGGTCCTGGGTTCGAGTCCCGGGTCGGGCCAAGTTTAGTTATTGAGACTTTCTGTATAGTAAGTCTCAGTAACAGCCCGGAGTTGGGAAGTTGGCGGTGTTTCACCCCCGTGCCTCGGAGAGCACGTAAAGCCGTCGGTCCTGCGCCTTAACTCTCACCGGTCGTGTCGAGTGGTCGTCCCACCGGAGTATGAGAGTGATAGGAATAGAGAGTGCACTTGTGTCTGCGCGTACACTTGAGCACTATAATATCTCCTGCGCAGTTGGCTAATCTCAATGAGATTGGCCGCCGTAGCCGGAATCGGCTAGGAGAACATCATTTTATTATATTCTATGATAAGAACTTATTAAATCTTTTATTAAATCTTTAAAAACATTAATTATTTATTAAATCTTTTTCTGATAAAACATTTTGCATTATTAACAAAAATCATACAATTATTATTAAGTAACTAGCCACTCGCCAATTCTTTAAATTGAGATATTTTTTTATTTATAAAACGATTGAAATAAAACAAACACTAAATGTTAGGTGAAGCTTACCACAATACCTTAGTGAAAATCGCTGAAGAATCAGTTAAGCAATTTTTGAGATTAGCGCGCACAAACGCACAGACAAACAGACAAAAATTCTAAAAATCATTATGTTGGGTTCTATTGCATTAATAAAGACCTCCAACAGTAGTCTTTCATCTTATTTATATGATTTGATTTAATTTGATTACAGCGATCAGTTACAATTTTAATTTTTATATGTACATTGTACATATGTATATGTACAATGTACATATATGTCGCTAATTTTAAAACAATATTTAGATTTTCTGAATTTGAAAAAACATTATCAGAATATAAACATTATACACAAAATTGGTATTTATTAAAATGACTCATGTATTAAATAAAATTTTTCAGGCATATTGTCCAGGTCACACAGGCCGATCTGAACCATCATTTGGCCGCAAACGTAGAGAAGCGAATTCCACCGAAGTAGAAGATACAGAAGTAAAAGTGGAAGATGTAAAAGAAAATAAAACAGATAATATGAGTGAAGCGTCAGTATACAAAGTGTCGTATGAAGAGGCTACTGTAGACAAATATCTGAAAGACGAAGTGGAAACGCCCAGCCACGTTCGGAAAATGATTGAAGTAAGGCAATTTGTTATTTAAATTCGTTCTATTAAAATTTAAAACAATAACACAATTTTGAATGATTTACTTACAAGTATTAACAAATAAAATGCCTGACAACCCTCGCAGTTCTTAGTCGTGCAAGTCCTGGATTCTGATTACCGGTCTTCAGGTTGGACAGGGTTTTGACGTACTAGAATTTTTACTATAATTTTTGACATCCTGTATTTATTTTAGTTGTTTAAAATAAACTATCATGCATTATTGAAGTAGGTAACTACTTGTATTGAAACTAGTGAATTAGACACGCTTCGCTCGGGTCCCTATATGCGTAACAATAGCGTAAGAAATATATGTACATTCATTGAAAAAGTGTTACGACAAAGGTGTTTACCGACTAATCTCATTGTGTCTCCATTCTATGTGATATTAGCGAATTAATCTGTGGTCAATCGGCACTGCTTGAAGCTATTAATAACAAGAAAATTGATCGTTACAGACAGTGCCTACCCACTATTTTACAAAAATGTTTCCAAAAAATTCAAAAATGGAATCAAAATACCTTGCAATATTTGTTGATTTTAATTCTAAGCTTTTTGACAGCCTTTGAGACCTCTATAACCTTAGTCTCTCCTGTGACTATGATTGCTGTAAAGCATTCGAAATAACAGGTACCAAAAATCTAAGTAAATCCGCGTAATAATCCGAAATGATAGGTTTATTTAAAATGTCAAATATTTGCGTAAATCTAAGAAAGTATTATAAGAAAACTAGCAGGAGCCGTGGCTTCGCTCGCGCTGAAACTACAAAAAAATCTCTGAAATGGTACTTTCATACAAACTTTCATTCCTATTTTACTCCCTTATCGGATGAATTTTGAAAAATGCTAAAACAAGTAGTTATTTAATCGTATTGAAGAGCATTAATATCAAGTTTCAAGTAATTCTGATCATAAATATTTTTTTGGATTGTGTTATACATATATAACGTGTTTTCCCGTGCGAATTAGATAATCTCCCACAGTAAAAAGTCTATGTCATTCTCCAGCCCTCCAAATATATCCACACAAAAAATCACGCCAATCCGTCACTCCGATTCGACGTGAAAGAAGGACAAACAAAAATACACACTTTCACATTTATAATATTAATACAGATTGAATTAAATTGAAGGTATTCGACAACCGTAACGAGTTGCTGGAGGATTCGGCGGACTCGGCGCCGGTGGTGTCGGCGGCGGGCGTGTGCGTGGCGGCGCCGCACTACCGCGCGCTGCTCGCGGCGCTGTGCGCGCTGCTCGCGCTGCTGCTCGCCATGCTGTGTGTCGCACTCTTTGTGTACAAGTGAGTGGTCATTTGGTATTAACTGATTTACAAAGAGGAGGTGACATGTTTATATGTTTGTTTTTTTGGAATTTGTGTTTGTTTGTTGTAAGATTGAATGATTTGGTGGTACGTTTATCTTTTACTTATAAGGTAAGAAGTAAGAGGTGTGTATGTTTTTTTTAATTAGCATTTTTATAATATTTATTGCAATATTTAAAAAAGTATGCATTCTTAGAAAAGAAAGTGTGACATTTGCTTCCTTGTGGCTGGAGCCTGGGGGTAATTGGAAAGGACATGAGTATACCTTTCACCTTCTCAATTCAATTTGATAGAGCTATTCGATTCGTCTGGAAAGTGACACTGTTGCAACTTTCACATTACATCTAATAAACAAATATCTAATATCAATATTTTTTATATTAAAAAGATAAAAAAGAAAGATAGATAAATACTTTTGCACACAAAAAAAAATAGTACTGAAAATAAAAAAAACATAACGAAAAAGCATGCAAAGGTATTATTGTTATGACCAATTTCTTACTTTGATGAAAGGATGGATGCGTAAAATATTAATAGGTACGTTTTGACGCTTAGTATGGAATATGTATGATGAGCTTTATATCCCTTACTTGAGAAACGATTGATTCCTGATACTTTTCACCCCCCTCCCTCACCCCCTTAAAGGATGATTTCCGGGATAAAAACTATCCTATGAGACGGCTCAGGGTCTCAAACTATCCGTCGGGGCCGGGGAAGAGTTTTATTGGTATCCGTGGCCCCGGCCTTAACGCGAAAGAGGTGTCTTTTGTCAGGTGTTTTAGTGGGTAAGCTGCCGCGCGCTTACCACCTTTGCGCGGCAGGAGCCCCACATAACCCGCCTCACTTCCCCATTAGCGAGTGGGTACCCGGGAACAGGGTTTTTTCCGACGATAAAAAAAAAGGGTCTCAAACTGTCTCCATACCAAATTTTATCTAAATCGCTTAAGCAGATTAAGCGTGAAAATTTATAAACATTTATAAATATAATGTTAGCATGGATGGATGTCCAATAATATCAGCACAGTTCTACACAATTGCTATTAACTGTTCGCAGGCGCTACTGGCGCGTCATGCGCAAGAACATAGAGGTGACGGCGCCGCGAGCCGCCGCGCCGGCGCCGCGCCCCGCGCGCCCCTCGCTCTTCTCTGCCTCGCATTTACATAAACCATTCTCTTTGAGGTATTTGTTGTTAAAATTTTAATTAAAAATAATATAGCTCATTTTTTTAAATATAATTTATATTTCAAAATTAGCGTAAATATATATAAGCGTAATATATATCTTTATCTTTTGCTTTACATATAATATTTTCATTATGGATCGTTTTACTAAAATTATTATTTATCTTTATGATGTTTACACTAAATCAGTATTAGGTACTTCGCATTTATATAAAGTATAAAATGTTCTAGTAAGATTAAAAACATTGTACCTAAATATTATTATCATTTTATGCCCTTTTCCATGTAAATTTATAAGCATTATCGTAAAATTATTATACATATTACATTTATTGAGTTTTGACTCTTGAGATGAAGACTCAAGTACTTACCAAAGTTGATCTCCGAAGTATAATATTTGTAAATATTACCGAGAATTTAGAACTAATCTAATCAATATTCTTTATTATTTTACAGTGGATTAGGCAGGAACTTTTCAGATATTGGCGAAGAGGCGGGCTCGTCCGGTCGACTGGCGAACGCTTTTGACGACGGCAGCGAACCAATTTACACAGACCCCTCGTTGTTTGAGCGCTCCAGGTCTTTGCGGTCCTTACATTCATTGGATTTGAAACCGGATCGTCGCGAACATCACGCTTAAAACATGATCTACCCTCACCTTTATATCTAACTCGTAAAAACTCATCCCATACTAAGACTTATTAATTAAATGTGCTCAGTTTCTTATCCGTCCAAAGAACTTTATATATTTGTAATATTTTTATTTAACTTCTTAATTATATCTTTAAAGATTTATTGTAAGTCAGTACTAATGAATAAATTTTACAGTGATTATTTGTTAATTTTATTGATTCCTTTATATTAATCATCTACGTAATCCATTTTTACTATATCAGTCATGAAAATATTAAAGATATCGGCTAAGTGCCAATGGGGTCATCAGGAACAAATTAAATTTTCTTCAATTAAACATCAAAAGAACTTAGATATATAAATAAAAAAAAGTAATTTAGATTACTTTTTTTTTCAAGCAAATATAAGAAATTGAAATAATTCTTTAACTTTTCGTAATTTAATTAATTATTGAAAAATAATATAGTGTAAAACAGATAAAACGATTAGTTGGGTTAAATGAAAAATTAATTAAATTGTAGGAAAATGTATGGATCAACGGCACCTATCGGCTATTTAAGCGAACATTTCTACCAAAATAAATGTAGTTGGTATTTTTATACCTTTGTAATGTATCTATGTAGTTTTCTACAATATAATATATAACTGTGAGCATAATTATTGATTTATTTAGCAATTTATTTCAAATTTCAATTAAAATGAGTTATCAGAAGTGTCCAAAATATTTTAATGGACTGAAAATTAAAAAAGAGATAACTAACTTCCTTGGTATTCATGTTTGCATTAGCAACTTCATTTTCGTTATTGATTGAAAGAAGGATAATCTTTACGAAACAATGAATATATTTAAATACACGAAATTTGATAGCCTCTTTAAGCCCAAACCAAATTAAACCAAATTTTGAGATTTTTTTTATTAATTTAGGCAGTAAATTATAATTTATTTGTATTAAACAGTATTATTTTGCTTTACATAAAATAACGTAAAACTACATGTGATAAGGTGCAGGTGTTGGGACACTCATGAGCGGAGAGTCCAAATATTCCATCTCACTAGTGCTAGGGGCTGGTTCAGCTTGAGTATGCATTTTCTGTTGTAAAGATTCATATAATTTATGTACTGACTCATTGTGTTGAGTACCAGGCTGCAAAGCCTTCATTAAAGTTTGAATTCTAGTTTCCGGCAGCTTTGGGTGAATGTACCATAGCAATTTCAATAAATGTCTAGTAACATTGTCCTTTGACAAACCAGCAAAGAAAAATTCATCAAATAGTACAGTACTGAAATCTTCACCTTGGAATTCATCAGGCAACTGTATCAGTAAAGCTACCAATGCATGTAGAAATGGATCCTCATAAGCTCTACCATCTTTACAACTACCTAATATACTAAGAATTCTTAGAATAGCTCCTCTATCCCTTAATTTAGCTGCATGTAAAGTGTAATACATTGCTAAAACACCACAAACTGGACTTTCCCTCATATAGGCTTCACAAGCATCAGGTGGAGGCCCAGAATGTTCAATGGTTGTGATGGCAGACTCTCTTTCATCAGGGGGCAATTTATTATGCAGTGCTCTGACTTGATCATCTACCATGAGTGACATCAGTGCTGGAAGATATTTAGTAACTACTTGGCTATCAAGCTTAGGTTCCTTGAAGTCTTGTGAATCAATCATTTCCCATGCACTTAAACCTAATGCTAACATTCTAAGCAATAAAATTAATATTGTATTGTCTCTCGGGAGCCCCTCTGTATTTATAAGGTGTTGAAGAATTTTAATTGCAGATGTTGCTAAAAAGTTTACTGCATAAGGATCACATAGAGTCATAGAAAGATCTCCAAGAACCTGCTCACGACCTTTTTTTATACTATCAAGAAATCCTTGTAGTTCCCTTGATCTTTTAATATCTACATTTCTTTCTCTTATACAAGCATCCAAACACCATGTAAACTTGTGACATGGATCGACAGATATAATATCTTGAACTTCTGAATCATGAAGAGCCATCAATAATTCTGCCCTCAAAGTACAGTAATGAACATTTCTTGTCCTAAGGAACAAAGTTCGAAGAAATTGCAACACCATATCATACAATTTCACACTTGTCCCTATCATATGTGCTAGCTTCTGTACAACAGCACCTTGTCGTCTGACTTTTGGTGATGGCGAGAAAAATAAATTTGAAAGGTTCTCTTGATCAAATAGTACATTTTCTTTTTCTCTAATATATTGACTTAACAGTGGTGATACTTCATCTCCAAATAGAGACTGGTTATCTTGCCAAATCTGCCTTTTTACCTCAGTATCTGTGTCATTGTACAAATCTCTGTCACGGACTAACACTCTTAAATATTTGTCATCAATATGTGGAGTGTTTTTTAATATGCTCATTATAACTGGTCTCAGAGCTTTTACTTTAACAACAGGAAAGCTTTTATTTAATAATTCTTTAAGCTTCTTTTCATGTTCTTTCTTATCCTTCGTACCTAACTCATTTATGTGTGCTATTAGTTTATCTCTTAATTCTTCTAAGACAGATGTATGAAAATCAAGCCGACGCACTCCATGGAGATCAAGTAATGGAAGCATAGGTCTTAGAGATGGAAGCAATATGCCGTTTTCTAATTGAAATTCTTCAATTGCTTTGAGTGGATCAGTACAACTCGTAAGTGCATCGCGAAGAAAAGTTTGACCAGGTACTCCAACATCTTCTAATCCAGTTCCGGGTAGTTTACTTGACGAAGCCATAATTAACCTTGATTAACAAGTTACAAAATGATAGGAAATAACATTTAAAAATTGAAATTGAAAATGCTGCAAAACAGTAAAGTAAACAAATTTAATGGGTTGTCAGTTCTTGCCGCCTGCGATGTGTCAACTCGGTTTGCCAACTCGGATTAACCCGAGTTAGCGTCACGTCCAGTCAGCCCGAGTTCGACCGATTATAACTCGGGTTAGACACCGACACCCGAACGACACACGAAGCTCGTTTCTTATACTATGGAACTTCGTCTTAGATATAATAATTTAGTAATTCTTGTTGTAACTCTTTATAAAAGGTTTAATTGTGATTGTTTCGATAATGCTGGGGCCAAAAAAGACATCCATTGTTTGGGAAATTTTTGAAGGGCCAGTTCAATGTAAAGAGTGTAAAGTTAAATATAAAGAGTGTTCTGAATAATATAAATAATCCGGTAATACAACTACATTGAAGAATCATATTTAAAAAAAAATAACTTGGTCAATACAATAACATTATAGGAACTCGTCAACAAACCTTTGTCATGACCTGTTAAATATATCGCCTTGCCGAATTAGTAGTTAGTACCTACAAATTAAACCAAATACTTTTCCTTAATAGTACCATATAATAAATCTATATTGAAATTTTTGTCTGGTTGTCTACATGTCTGTTTGTTTGTATATTTTATTTTTTATTCATTTCACGCCAAAAGCACTTAACCAATTTCAACTAAATTTTGTAAGTAAAGTTACCTTTTACTACAGGAAACTTCTTCATTCCCACGGAAAAACACAAAAACTGTTTCTATCGAGTCATCCATAGAAAATAAGCCTAATACTAGCTAAACATAAAAACAAAGTACCTACTAAAAATTGTAGATCTTTAAAAAGGTCGCAATAGTATAAATGGGTGTACACTCGCAATAAGTATTTTTATCTACGTATGTATTTGAAACGTATCTAGGGAGACACCCGTGTGTAGACCGGGAACGGTACCACTGCCTGGTAGTACGAGTATATCCATCTAACAACATTTTATTTCAGTATTCTTAAAGACTTTAATTCATATTTTAATATTAATATCCTTATTTCTTTTTTTTCATGTTTATAGTTGTTAATTTATCAAATTATTATTTGAGAAGTGGTGTTGTTATTTTAGTTGCCTTAGCCTAAGCCAATAGATAAGCTATGTTTATTGTTTTTTTGGGTTCCGTACCTCAAAAGGTAAAAAAAGAACCCTTATAAGATCACTCTTGTTCGTCTGTCTATCCGTGTGTCATCGCTAATTTTCTCAGGAACGGGTTGACTTAGCAAGTTGAAATTTATACCAGATACTAAGGTTTATAGTTCCTATTTGGTGTATAAAAATCAAAGTCCTGAGTCAACACGATAAAAAGATATGGGCAAATTTAGATTTTCGCAAAAACTTATAAGTACCAAAAACCTTAATTTTCAACTTTTTTTATTTTTAGGAATGTTTCCTTTGCTTGTGCTGTAAGACCTTGCTTTTAACCAAAATTTACAATTCTAGGTCAATTGGAAGTATCCTATGGGTTAGGGTCGAAAACCTATATGGTAGTTCCCGTTGACATAGAATCACGAAATTTGGCAAAAAGCAAGTTCTTACAGCACAAATAAAGGAAAAATTTCAAAAAATAAAAAAGTTAATAATTTAAGTTAAACAGATTTCCTACAAATTTGTACGTAACCCTCGGTGGGCGAGTCCGACTCGCACTTGCCTGGAATTCACTTCTATAACTAATACACTGTACATAAAAAAAAATACAATAACTTCTTATATAAATATATAACTTCTTTCATTCCTTTACTTACTATATTTTAAAACACTCACATATGTAATCAATAGTCAAAATATGTCAAAAACTTGAAAAACAATAGATGTATTCAACTCGACATAGAATGAAAGAATGTATAAAATATAAATTTCGTAGCACTTACCATGCTAACTCGATTTACTGAACTCGAGTCACCATGACTTTAAATCGAGTTGACTTGGGTTAGCGAAAACCTGACAAAAACGATTCTAACCACAGATTAAAGAACTAGTAACTTTTTAACAGAAACGGATTCAAAATACTATAGATTAAAGAATAAGGTCGAAACTGGTTCTTAAAAAAAAGTCATGAAAATGCCATTGCTTCTGTGGTATGAATAACTTTAAAATGTAAGCATATGATTTGATATATTTGTGTTTATTACAAGCTACATTAAACTTTACACTTTACAGCTGAATTTGTAATAGGGAAGAATTTTGCCTTTTTCTCCCGCCAGATGTCGCATTCGCTATAGTTATATTTTTATAAGAAGGCAACATTTGCGATAATGCTGTCTAATTTTGACATATTTTTTTAGTCAAACTTTGAAGCATTTGAAGTAGGTAAATTGCGTGTGATTCAGTGATTGTAATTTTTATTTATATAAACCATATTGCTTTTCTTTTTAGTTTAAACTTAAAACAAAAATTACGTACACAAAAAGTGTAATTCTATCTAATTATTGTTTAGCTTATAAAATAGTTGCTCTTCAAAAGATGAGTGAAAAGCAAAAAACGTAAGCTAGTAAAACATATTTATTTAAATAGTTTTATCTTAAATTATAAATATTATTTTATATAGTATAATTAAAGTAATTATTGTCAAAATTATTTTTCCAGGCTTATTTGTGGTGATGTAAATGGAAATTTTACCACATTGTTTTCCCGCGTAGAGTCTATTATAAAGAAATCTGGACCTTTTGATGTATTATTATGCGTGGGAAATTTCTTTGGATCGGATAACTCTCAATTAGATGCATATCGTTTGGGAGGAAAGAAAGGTAAAGTTCTAATCTGTTCTTATAAAGTATATATATTTCAAGTTATATCTACCTCTTAGACCTATGTGGCATCATTTATTTATTGATTACTTATATTGTTTGTGGGTAATACCTATACACTAAACTTAAATAAATATTGGTGTTCGCCCAGTGGTCGAAAGTCAATCATAGTCATTATTAAAAATTTGAGAATGAAAACATGCATAGAATTAATAGCCCGAGAGCTGGTGACGAATTTTGGGAAGGTCCTTTTGGCAAGTTGAAATTGTGAAAAAATATAGTTTATTAATTTCGTCAATTGGTGAGTCCAGTCCCGCGAGTCTTGTATAGCGTTTGTTTCTTTATTAATTCTCAATTTTAAGAAAAAAAATAAAAACCGGCCAAGTGCGAGTCAGACTCGCGCATTATGGGTTCCGTACCATAATCTATAAAAACCGGAAAAAAATCACGTTTGATGGCATACCTCAATAAGCTATCTTTCTTGCACCTATGGCTACGTATAAGACTTTTTTGTAGTACTCATTTGTAAACTTTACTTATGTCTGGCAATTGTTTCAAAACCCGTAAATTTGTCTGGCGATTTGCAAGTAAGTATTATTGAAAATTACTCAATAAATATGCGATTAAAATTTCAGGTTGCCAAAAGTATGAGTATGTTTTTGGGAATTTTAATAAAATATCTTTGGAGAGGTCTGGTAATACTTTATAACCGACAAAACGTCTGGGGTTCTTTTGTTTGAATTATATAAAAACTAAATTAAAAGATTAAACAAAAACAAGTTGCCAAAAATATGTTTTGGATATTTTTTTTGCAAATGTTGTACACTACGCAGCAACGAAGTAATCGCAAACGCTATACCAGACTCGCGGGACTGGACTCGCCAATTGACGAAATTATATTTTTATTTTTTTTACAATTTCAACTTGCCAAAAGGACTTTTCCTAAATTCGTCGCCAGCTCTCGGAATATAACCTATCTGTGTAAAAGACGATTCCAAAATATTTCTTATTGTTTCTAAAATAAGATTTTTTTAATCAAAAAGTTCAAGTTCAAGCTACTAAACAAAAAAAGCATCAGTTCACAAATAGTAGATTATACATGGACTAAGTAGTGACATTATTTTGTTAAAGCTAGTTTTATGACTTCCCGGCAGGGAATCTGTGCCCTTCTAATAGCATAAACAGTTTTTCATGTAATTCTTATTTAAACAAATTTTACATTTATGTTTTTCTTTTTAATTTACAGTTCCTGTTACAACATATGTATTTGGTCCATCTGATAGTGAACATGTACCACATTACTGTGATGAAGGTTCTGAAATTGCTCCAAACATTATATATATGGGTAAGTACTTATATTTTTCAGTAAGTACTTATTTTTAAATAATTATACTGAGTTAATTAATATTTTACAAAATCTTGACCTTAATTATGTGAGTGAAAATTAGAAAATAAATAAGTGTGGTCTTGATGAGGTTATAACAGAGAAATAAAAATAAAATGTAAAAAATTATTTCATTTTTAGGCAGAAGAGGAATTTTTACAACAAGTGCTGATGTTAAAATTGCTTATTTAACTGGTTTATCCAGACGTGAACTTGGCAAAGATATACCCATGTGCACATTTGAACCAAGTCACTGCAGTGCAGTTAGGGATGCTTGCTTTAGAGGTCAAAGTGAATATAGAGGTGTTGATGTCTTGATCACCACTCTATGGCCTGCCGGTATTCAACAAGATGAAAGTCAGAAGGTTTGTGAAGCTAAATATTATTAATTATTTATATTCTGTAATTAAAAATAAAATTGTCCATATATTTGTGTACATCATGATGTTTTATATTAAATTATATTTTAGGCAGATGTAGAACGAGAATTACTTTCTGATTTAATATCATGGCTGTCTATACACATCAAACCAAGATATCACTTTGTACCATCTAAAGGAAAATATTATGAGAGACAACCCTACAGGTAATTATAATTCATACATATTTTTCTAAGGTAAAAATGTTGATAGATTAATTAATTTGATTTAAACATGGGTAATTACTTCTGGTGACATCACACTTCTGTTATAAATGCCCAATTTTTTATGTGTGTGTGTATTTTTGTTACTTCTTTATTTAAAAATGGCTGGACAAAGGAGAATGGGCAACTTTGTATGTGTTCCTTGCACAATAAACAAAATTGCTCAAGTGGAAAAAGCTGTGCACGAAGAAGGAAAGATTCCATCATACAATAAAATGAAGCTATTATTATAATTTTTAAAATAACATATTATACCACAACTTGATACATTCTAGGAACGACACCGCCCATTGTCCTTTGGATTGAAATTTAGCACATTCTACTCGGACTAATATAAGCCACTGTTACTAATGTTATAATAATAAAATTTGCCAAATCTCATATTATTATTTAAATTTCAGAAACCAAAGTGTACATCAAGATTACAAAGAATGTGCTACACGCTTCATAGCAATTTCTCCAGTTGGGAACAAAATGAAAGAGAAATGGATATATGCATGCTCTCTGCAACCAGTCACTAAAATGAGAATGACTGATCTATTACAAAGTACGACAGATGAAACTCAATGTCCGTTTGATCCTGATTTATTAAAGCAGCATCAACCTGGCAAAGTAGTTAAGGTATTTCTATATACGCACGTTAAATAATATAATAATAATATCCTTCCGACCGATTTCGACCACGGTGGCATCTCATCTCTCTGAGATCTCATTAAGACTAGACATCTAGGAGATATAGTGCACAAGTGTACGCGCAGACACAAGTGCACTCTCTATTCCTGTCACTCTCATACTCTGGTGGGACGACTGCTCGACACAACCAATGAGAGTGTCAGCGCAGGACCGACGGCTTTACGTGCTCTCCGAGGCACGGGGGTGAAACACCGCCAACTTCCCAACTCCGGGCTGTTACTGAGAAGACCTTGACAGAAATACTCAATAATTGAACTTGGCCCAACCTAGGATTCGAACCCAGGACCTCCCAATCTGTGGCCGTACATGCTAGCCTACTAGACCACGTAGTAGATAGTTAATTAAATAATAGTATACCAAAGTGGGATAAGTTTTTTTATTGAATATTTAAAAGTAAGCTTTACTTAAAATCTTTTTAATTAAAATTAAATTTTAAAGTTATGGGCTTAGACTATGTACAATTTTTTAATACAAAGTGTTTGCAATAGGTATCTGGTAATGGTCAATTCTTTTTCAATATGGATGCGGCAGATGATGACCACGGTAAAAGAAAAAGAAAAGGTGACCATCCTGAACGTAAGAAGAAAGAGTTTGATCCAGGCAAGCATTTATACAATTAAAAATAAATATTAATAAGATAAATTATTTGTATTATGAATTCTATGCTCTTCTTACACATATATCTTATTCTTTTTATATTCTACACACCACCTAACTTATCAAAAAGCAAGCGAAATGTTGTTTATTGGAACCATTACTTGTTCCAGACACCTGTTGGTTCTGCCTGTCTTCTCCTACGGTAGAGAAACACCTGGTGATCTCGGTGGGTAGCCACTGCTACCTGGCCCTGCCGAAGGGGCCACTCACACCCTACCATGTGCTCATACTGCCTATTACACATCATCAGTCTGTTACTCAGGTGACTTTAATTTAATAAAAAAATAATTTGTTTAATAAAAATTAAATTATTTAATTCAATAAAAAATTTGTTAATTTTTTTATGTAAATTGATTCACAATTATAAGTGAAGCTATAGCAACTACTTTTTTAAGTAAGTCATAAGATTATTACAAACTAAAAAGACTCATTTGTATGAATGTAAAAGCACTAATCTCAAATATCAATCAAATCAAAATATACTTTATTAAAATAAACTTTAACAAGCACTTTTGAATCGTCAATTTTACATTTAAAAAAATTAAGTTTATTGTCAGTGCAGTCAGTCCATGAGGTAATAATTTCAGTGTTACCATATTATCAAAAAGGTATCAAAATTTATGAAACATTTCATCTTAGGCACCGGACGATGTAGCAAAGGAGATCAAGAGGTTCAAGGATGCCATAAAGAAATTCTACGCGTCCAAAGACAAGTTGGCGGTCTTCTATGAGAGGAACTACCGCACGTCCCACATGCAGATACAGTGCGTGCCGGTGCCTCGCGCCTGCAACGAACAGTTGTTGGAAGTTTTTCAGGTAATTAGATCACATTTGAATAAATTTTATTACACAATGTTTTCTTTTGATAATGACCAGATGGAGATGGCGGGATGAGTAGGACTCTCAAAGAGAGTGGCTTATTATGGCGAAAGATAGGGAGCAGTGGAGGAATAGTAGTGAGGCCTTTTCCCTGCAGTGGGACACTACAAGCTTATAATAATAATGTTTTATTTGCTTTGTTTTGTGACGAATTTTTACTTATATTGTAATTGCGAATGTGTTTTTGTTGATTTGTGAAGTCATAGGGTTCGGCGATCCAAAGTGGATCTTGTTCACATGTCAGAAAAGTTTTATCTTTTCCTGAATAAACAAATAAAATATAAATAATATATGTATGATTGTAAATTAATTATTTGATTCTTTAAGCCGTCATTTATATATATTAATATAAAATACTTATATGAGTTTTCTGAGGTTGTCATCTTAAGTAGAAAAGGGGCGGGAACAGCGATGTGTTTTGTTTTATGACTTTATGCAATACTTCATTCTATTTCGTAATGTCGTTTGAGGCGTTACTCTGACTCTGTATAAAATAATAATTACGGACAAGTGCGAGTCGGACTTGCCCATCGAGGGTTCCGTACAAATTTGTAGGAAATCTGTTTAACTTTAATTGTATTTTTTTTTTGGAATTTTTCCTTTATTTGTGGTGAGCACCTTGCTTTTTGCCAAATTTCGTGATTCTAGGTCAACGGGAACTACCATATAGGTTTTCGACCCAAAACCTATAGGGTACTTTCGGTTGACTGAAACATAAAAAAAAACGGAAAAATAAAAAAAGTTGAAAATTAAGGTAAATTTTAGTAATTACAAGTTTTCGCGACAATCTAAATTTGTCCATATCTTTTTATCGTGTACACACGATCTTGATTTGTTTACACCTAATAGGGACTATAGACCTCAGTATCTGGTATAAATTTCAACTTGCTAGGTCCACCCGTTCCTGAGAAAATTGGCGGTGACAGACGGACAAGACAATGATCTTATAAGGGTTCCTTTTTTACCTTTTGAGGTACGGAACCCTAAAAACTGTGTGCTGTTATATTGAATGTTACTTTGCCTATATGACCTACTTCTGTAATAGTCGCGTAATTAATTATGATTTACGTTCCAGGACGAAGCAGGTATAAACAGTATAGAGATGGAAGCGCTGCCGCCGTACTCGGACATAGCGCAGGTGGCGCTGCCCGGCGCGCCCTACTTCCACGCGGAGCTGCCCTCGGGCGACCAGATATTTGCGAAGACCAAACAACACTTCCCTTTGCAGTTTGGCAGGTTTTTATTTTCTTTTCACTCACACTTTACGTCACTTGGTTTTTTTTAATTGGATTTTTTTTGTTTGTCTGTCTGTTTGTCCCCGCTGATTTCCGTACCGGTTGGACTCATTTTGACGGGACTTTTATTGGCAGGTGTGATGTTATAAGAGAGTAAGTTGGACTACTTTCGTTTTAAAAAAATGTGGACGGTTCCGTTAAAATTAAATTAAAATGTACATAGGGACGTTAAGTCGCTAGTTTGAAATAAAAACGGTACTTATAAGAAAAACATGATTTTTCTAATTTTTGTCTGTCTGTTTGTTTGTTCTGGATAATCTCTGAAACGGCTGGACTGATTTTGACGGGATTTTCGCTGGAAGAAAGCTGATGTTATGAGCAGTAACATAGGCTACTTTTATTTCAGAAAAAGAATTAGGGTTCCGCTCAAACAAATTAAACGTACCTAGGGACGAAGTCGAGTGAGTCGCTAGTAGGTTAATATGTCCAATGTGATATTCCAGAGACGTCCTGTCCAGCCCGCCCGTCCTGAACTGCGAGGACAAGGCGGACTGGCGCCAGTGCCTGCTGGCGCGCGAGGAGGAGGCCGCGCTCGCCGCCGCCTTCCGCCGCGACTTCAGGCCCTACGACTTCACGGCCGACGACACCGACAGTGAATGATGTTCGTGTGCTTGTTCTGAGCTTAGGTTAGGTTAGTTTTCATTTTTATGGCTAGACAGAACTAGTATAGTACAGTGATAGTGAGTGATGTTTGTGATAAGTGCAGATTAGTGCACATCTTTATGGTTAGACAGAGCTAGCCATACAGTGGTAGTGTTTATAAATAAGTAAATCAAATCAGATTATACTTTTTTCAAATAGACTTTTACGACTACTTTCGTCATTTTTTCATTTTTAAATTTAAATTTTGTGCTCATTCAGTGCGGACATTTTTTGTCGCTGGTTTTGTATCTAGTTTTTTTGGCCATTAAAATAAGTAAAAGATTTTCATACTCATTTTCATCCCTTTTTTCACACTTTAGGGTTTGCATTTCCAAAAATTTTTCCTTACTCCCTACGAGGAATCTAATTGCCAAATATCATTTTTGTAGCAAAATTAATTTTTGTTTTTTGAAATTTGGAAATTGATCAGCGAGTGGTATTTTGCTTTTGTGTATATGTATAGATAATATGATACCAGCAATAGTGTAAAATACATGCAAAATTGTAAAGTCATATGATCTGGAGTCTAGCTATTATCAATTGAATTTAGTAGTATTTTTTAACCCCCCATAAAAATAGGGGAGTTGTAATTATTATGAAAAACTGACATGACAACTGTTTTATTTATGAAAATCACAACCGTTTTATTAATAATTTTAAATTAATATGGATGTTGAGTATAAATAAAACACATAATCAAATAAATGAATTTTTATTTTCGTTCACATCGTACTGTTCCTAATAACTCATATATAAAAACATATCTGTAACAACATGATTAACTAACTTACAATGTGTACGTGTTATATATTTAACAAAACGTTAAAATGATATGGTACATTGACTAGAGATGAAGTTATCTGACGTCAGATTATCTGCTGAGTTCGTTGTAGATGATAAGACCAGTTTAAATTCATTTTATCGTGATCGTTCATTAAATTAGTCGTGATTACATTTACGTGCTTTTTGCATTGATATATAAAAACAGATACACATTTCCTAACAATATCTCTTCAAAAAGTGGCGTCGACATGTGATGTTAAGTCAAACCAGAGAATAAAATTCAAAAATCGAAAGTTCTAATTGTCTAAACTCGAACTTACCCACACGACATAAAGTACTTTTTTAAATGAAAGTGAAAAAGAAAGCAATGAACAAAAGAGATTTGAAAAAAATCGCACAATTTCAGATTGTGTTTTTTGAGGACACTTTTGAGATGCTAATTGTGTATCTTAAGTTTTTGTATATTAATGGCATTTTAACTTAATTTTTTTTAAATGGAAGCGACGATATGGAGAGAAAATATGGAAAAAAATGCTCAATTAGAGTTAAGAAAAATAAAACGCTAATCACAGTTGTTCCTCTTTTTATGAGAGAAATAAAAAAATGTCGTTCGTATACGGTAACTAATAATATATTAAAACTAATTCAAGCAAAAATATTAAATAAATTATAGAATATTTAATATGATTTTTTTTTAATATTTACCTAAAAAGAATATTTATTAATAAGTCTCGGCTTTTCAAAATAAGTACAAAATATATATAACATCAGTCCACGCTTCGAGTATTGATCGGATTTAAGTCAAATTATATGTTATTCGCTAAGTTAAATCTGAAAAAATCTTAGTACCTACTTAATTTTTTTTACACAATACATAAAATGATTGCAGTATAAAAAAATGTAGTATGTTGTGTAAAAAAAATTTTGAGATCTTAAAGGGCACGTAAATGTACACGTGTTTTGATTTAGGCAAAATCGTAACTAAAGCTATCAGTCGCTCTTTGACTGTAATACCAATGCTAGAGGTTACATTAAACATTTCGTTATCTACAGACTTGCGAGAACTTCATTCAAAATGATCATATAATTAAATATGAAATTCACTAAAACCTACTAAACGATTAACTTCGATAACTAGCATTAGGTATCCGTGACTAGATATATAAAATAGATTTCAATTAAATATAGGGCAGTCTTCGTTGGAATTACGAAAGAGAGTCAACGTAAACGATTGTAAATTATTTAAAAAAAAACACGCAATCGACGTAAACGTGCGCCAGTACAAAACTCGTCAACCTAGAACTACATACAATGTACATATAAAGTTAACTTTCTGCCGTATTCACCAAACTATAGGTAAGTGTATTGTCTCGTGTTACTGTTACTGAGGACTGTATATACTAACTCCATATTTCATACTTTACATCCATTACTAGGTAATTTAGGTATACAGAATTATGTTAGTGCTCGGAATTCAATATTTAACTTGCCACAGCTTATTTTAAATATCTATTCTATTTTTGTGGTTAGTTATATATTAAACGCCTTTACGGTTAGAGGAGCGTATTGATTGTATTGATATTTCTATACTTCATAAGAGTTAAACAGAAAAAGAACTAAATAGTATTCCGTATGCGCCTACCATCAATTAATAGCAATGTTACATTTTAATTAATTTAAAGATATGAAAAGACGACATTATAGAGATTGAAAAGTTTTTGTTAAAGTGAAATCGGATATTAAATTTGAACATATTATAATATTATTTAAACGATTTTAATCACATCTCACAATGTATCGAGAAGATAAAAATATGGCAACATTTAAATGAAGCTGCGATTAAAATACGTTAAATATTTATTTTAATTAAAATCAGAAATGCAGATTTGGAACGTGATCGTTGATCGCTCACACTTCCATTTTACATTAATATGAAACATTACATCTACGTTTATATGTAGGTACATTATTTACCATTTACATACGTCTTAAAGTTATTATTTATAGAAGTGATTAAATTTTCCGATGGAAACGAGTGGTTTCCATAAACTTTACAACGTTCAAACAATCCATAATTAAATATGGGATACAATTTGTTAATCGTATCCATAACTAGTTTTAAGACTTTGGTCAATAAGGCATTAAGTTTAAAATATATATATATTTATTTTAATTATTGTTCTTCTTAATTTTACATTTGATATTAAATACACATTCGTTACAACAATATTTACAAAACGTCGCCATTCAGGTGCTACATTTACCCTTATTGACACTCTTTTATTCAAGAACTCTGAATAAATTATTGTTACTTTTAAACATTGGATTATACGCTTGTATGAATGGAAAGCATAACAGTCCCTAATATAATAGATAAAAATGGTGTTTCATTTCAGTATTTTCACAAATAGTTTTGCTTTATAAAAAAAAATACAAAATTTTAAAACTATAGTTGAATTAAAGATAATTCAGAAAAATGGCATAGTGTAGTAATTAATAACTAAATATTTTGTAATTCGTATTGTGCGTTATCGCTTTTAAACTAATTTGGCAACATTGTAGCAAACGTACATACTAATAATAAGTATACAACGACAATGCGTATAATTCGATGTCAAGTTAATTTAACATAATGCAATAATATATCCGTAAGTTGTTTAAATAACTCGGATTTGAGTACAGAGTACAAAAATGATTATTGTTATATGTGGCACTAACATTAAATATTTTACCTATACCTATCTATCTACAATATATGTACATCACTATATTGAGTATTTGGCAACAACTCTGCGGGGTCAAATCGTCCACGGAACAACGGCAATGTATAACGGCAATGTATGTGTGTTTGTAGTAAAAAATTACCATATTACTCGGATAAATAGGAACAATGTTAAAATCGTTAGAACTTACAAACTTTTGGCTTAGAATTTGACCCCGGAAGTTACAAAAATTCAGTGCTTTGTGTATTTAAATAACAATATTCTCGTTTAGATCATATTTAGTTTTTATGCATTGGTCTTTTTAAAATTATTAATATTAGCAGTAACAAATTTAATTTGAAATTCCAAAATCCCAGATAATTATATCTGAAACTTTAATACATTAGAAATTCGTTTGAAAAAAGTAGAATTGAAAACGTGATATGAGTTATACCTACTTCCATTATATTTATGGAAGGTCGCCTCTGTCAATATTATGAACACCAACGTTTTACATATTCAATTTTATTTTCCGTTTTAAAAACGACATTTTGACCTTTACCTTCTAGTCGTTCAGATGTTAATCTGGGCGTTTTGTAAAAGTTTATTTTAGTAACATGTTACATAAACACCAACATTTCAATCTAGACATTTCAGACAAAAACATTATTTTCCATTTCAAAAATGACATTTTGAGTGTTACCTTCTAGTAGTGTTCAGACATTAATCTGGAAGGCTTCTCGTGTCATCTTGGGGTCGCAGGCGAGCGCGTGCGCGCGCTTGCGGCGGCGGCGGCCCTCGCACTCTGTGTCGTCTGAAAACCGCGACGGAGGATGGATGTGCTCGTTGAACGACGGGTAGTTCGATATACTGGATCGAAAAATATTTTTCTACTGTGTAATACCAGATTTTATATCTATATCTATCGCCAATCCTGTGTTTCCGCTTCCTTCGTTTCGAATGTGTGCTCATAATTTGTTCTTTTTTTGATTTCTGTGTAACTACATGTAGTGTAAATTACTTTTTCGACCAAATATCTCGACCCTTTACATGTTTTGAGCTGTGTGTCTCATTTTGAAACAAACCTATATTAAAAATGTTACCATATTTGTATCATTAATGTCTGCACAGGTTAGATATTGTGATGAAAATTTCGACTTTTGGATATTTGAAAAACTTAATTGTGAGGTAGAAAATTAAATTGTTAAAGGTATTAAAGGTTTTTATGTAAAGTTTTTCGTGTGTGTTTTAATATAGGTTTATTTGAAAATAGTGTTGTCAGACAAGTATTTTAAAGTGTGCGAGTTTACCTTATACGTATAATTCGTTTAACAAATTGGCACAATCTCATTTTAACGATACGTAGATAGTTTTCGTACATATCATTATTGCATACGATATTTGTTTTATTTTTTATACAAAATGAACAGATTTTTTAATTATTTATCTAACATTTTCATTTGCCATAACAACCGGTTGTCGAACATTATGTTCTTTGGTGATCATAAAATCTATTTAAGATTAGATTTGATCACCATAGAGAATTTTTCAATCTTTGGGTTTAACTGGATAAGTGTCGTTGAAATTTTACATAGCAACGGTGGACGTTGAAAAACTGATTCTCTTTTCTTTTATTGCCTTTATACATTCTAGTAAGTCATAAGTAATAAAGTAAATAATATAGTAAATATACTCAAACTAAAAGAATAAAATAGAGTGTGAAGAACACAGTTGACGTCTGAAATAATATTATTTTTGAGCCTGAGCTGATTTTGCAGTACCCGCATTGAAAATCAGGTTTATTTGGCTTGATGCTTATTGCTCAATGATATGCGTTATTTTTTTTAGTTTGGTTAAATAAATAATTGGTGCCTCAGAAGCTCCTGATTACGCCAGTAATCATCTACCATGTTAGAAATTTCACTCAAATCCGTCTAGCCGTTTCGGCGTGAGGGCATATCAAACATACACTCATACACACACACATACAAATGATCGCGTTTATAATAGCCTCTGAAGTATGATATATTCACCTGAACGTGGTCTCGTCGTTGTGGCTGCTGTAGCCGCTGGAGGAGCGCACGTGGCGCTTGCCGAGCGCGCCGGCCTTGCCCTTGCGCGAGGGGAAGGCCTTGCGCGCGGCGCCGCCCGCAGACGTCTCCGACGACGACGACGACTCCTCGCGCTCTACACTCGGGTCTGGAATTCCACGGGAATATCTGTATATCTATAGTATGAGTTATACATACATGGACGCCGAGAAGGGGTTGTACCCCTACTTGCATATTTCCCATGAAAAAAATATATAGAAAATGTTAAAGAAATAAAATCGTATAACTAAATTCCATGTATACATTTAGATACCTGCGAAAAATAATCCTCACAATACATTTATGAATAAATATTATAAAATTAATCATTTAAAGATTAGTTAGTAAGTAGTTTAATGTGAAGGAGCAGATGCACTTTCCTGGAATAAAGTAAAAAGGACCATAATTATGGTTTAGCATTTATTTAATATGTGGGGACATTAACACACAGCGCCATCTAGTTCCATGGTAAGCTACGAGGCCTGTGTTATGGATACCAGATGGTTGATATACTACACATATATAACTTTAAATACATACATATTATAAATATAAACACCCATGACTGGAGTGCAAACATTCGTGCTCATCACACAAATGAATGCCCCCAGCGGGACTCGAACCCGTGACCGCTGGCACAGCAAGTAGGATCACTACAAACTGAGCCAAACGCGTCGTCAATTATTATTATTTATATAAAAATTTATTATCAAAATGGAGATTTAGTTGAATTTTAGTAGTAGATAGGTGTCTCATGTGAAACGCTAGTTAAATCTGCAGTCAAATTATAAAAATAAGTAGAGATGGCACTCCATACATGTTACTAGTTGAGGGTTAAAAAAATCTAAATATGTCTTTAAAATTCAGTTAAACGTTTCTAAGTGACTTTTTTGCTAAAGCTAATAGTTGCAGAGGTATATGTATATATTATGTCCCTTTCTAACTTTTGAAATATGGCTCGGAAAATTCTGAAAAAAAATAGTTTCTAAAAAAATTTCAAAGAAATTATTATTAAGTATTTGAATTTTTGAGATATGGGATACAATGAAATATAAACTTATTTATACTGTAAATACAGTGAATATCGTAAATTTGGAAAATTTTTATGTATTTTACGTTTAACGAAAAAAACTTAACACACAAACCATACATTTAATATTTCTTGCTAGTCGTAGGATTTTTAGTTTAGGTACAAGTTTTTCTAGAATATTCGAATCCTACATTAAAATCTTTATTAAAAGTTAAAAGTTATTTTGTGTGTATAATGGCCGATTTCACCAACGTCACCTAAGTTTAAGGGATCCCCTAAGCATAGTTAGGGGGCTGTTAGGGGACAGTTTCTGTTTCACCGACAGTTAGGGGTCACCTAAATGTTAAAATGCCACCTAAATATAGGTACTAGAAATACGGACTCTGACGATGGTAAAACGAAATTTAATTTAGGGGCTAGTTTAGGGGACTTTTAAGCTAGGGACCCTTACGTAGGTGGTAGCTTATGGGTTGTTGGTGAAATCGGGCATAAGACATTTATTTACAGGCGGTGGGGTGCGCGGGGCGCAGGCGCGCGCCTGGCTCGCTGTCGGAGCGCGGCGCGCTGGCGTCGTCGCTGGCGTCGTCCTCGTACTCTGTAATGGGCAGGTGCAGCGTTAGTATCTTCTTCACCTCCGAGTCCGTCGACCCCAAGTTGTCCGACTCTGCAACGTGACCACGGCTCAGGTTAGACTGGACGAACCCTTGCTCTGATGTGACGCTGTGCTGCGGTAACACGCTAACGACAGGTACCAAATACGACCTAATAGAATTTAGTAAAGTAAATCTAGTAAGTCTGATTTAAAAAAAAAATTGAAATCTAGAAAGTTAAATCTACTAAGATAGAATAACTATTTTATAATATGATACGCAACAATAACATCAATGTGACATTTATGATAATAAAAATAATGATGAATAAAATTGATATTTGATTAGTGCTAGAGAACAGAAGTTTAAAGTTTAGTATTACACAAAACAAGTTATTTTTGTCTGTCGTTATCGTGATACCAAGTGTCACAGCGAGAAGCACGTAAAGATTGTGTGAGTAGAAAAAGATGTATGACGTGAATGTCTTCCTGTTGATGAGTGGAGCACAATGATGAAGTCGACGACATGATCACTGAATTAGAAGCGTTAGTAATGAGATTCATTCGCATCTAAGACATGACATGGAAAGTTCTAGATAGATAATGAAAAATCAAATATTAAATTATCGAGGACAGCATTACAAACATAATGTGCATGCTTACCTTTATAAATTACAACACCAGTTACGCTCCCATCAGGTTGCATAAAAGGCGATCATTTTGTCAAATTCAAATATCAATACTTAAACTTAAATGGGTTAAATTAAACTTAAGTCATAGAAGGTGCGTCTACGTAAAATAAAACTAATGTAACTAACTACTTATAGATAAGCCTTATTTGTCTGTATACGATAATTAAACGCACCTTGACTCTCTGAATGAGGATCACGGAGTCTATTTCCTTTTCTTCTCACTTTTGTGTATTCAGGTTCTTTTCCCTGTTAAAAAAAAACTTTAGCTATACATCATTTTAATTCCCAAACAAAAGATTCCTAACTAATTCTTAATTGGACAATTCTATATTGAAAGTACCAACAGAGTTATAAGCATTTTTCTGTCGATAGTTGCACTTGGGTTATGTTTTGTTTTTCTGGTAATTTTAAAATTAAACAATATTTATATAAGTATTGTTTATTTTTTATAATTATTTTATTTTTTATAATAAAATGCTTATAATTCTGTTGATACTTTTACGCACATGGCTGTTTTATGCATAACTGGGTCCAATTAATGGTGGGTACATATAAGATATAAAATGTGGCTTGAAACAGGTACTTGATGCACTCCAAAATTTCATATTCAGATGTAAGAAACACTTCCTACTTTGTATTTATCATTTTGCTTGAGGTCATGGTAGACGAAAGACCCTCTGACGGAGTGGTAGGGGCCGCTGTACACGTTTCCACTGTAACTGCTCTCGCTGTAGGCACTCGGCTTCGTCAGCTGGAACGTCGCGTACGGACAGATGTCTTCGATATACTCTGAAATTGATAATAATTTTATATTATTTTATTAAAGAGGACGATATCCGTTTTTTTTAATTTAATTACAATTTTTTGTGACAGTAAAAAAATCAGTGTTATGAATGATATACTTCGGGTGTTTCGTTCGATTCGTATGAGTATGTCGTTTATATGTGAAACATCGCAATCAAAATGTTTATTTATCTACATATTATAATAAAGGAATATTTGCCCAAAGAGTCGTTATAAAATGATGTAAAGTAAACCAAAGTGGCACTCCTGACAGTCCAAGATGTATATTTCATATTCAGTATGAGTGAATAGTCGTATCGGTCACCGTTGGACGCGTGCTTGTAGTGGTGCGCGGGCGCGGGCAGCGGCGCGCGCGCCGCGAGGTACTGCTGGTCGCGGTTGGCCTTGTTCTGCAGTTGCGCCACCGACGGCGACTCGCCCACGCCGCCCTCCGGCGCCGCCGTCTCTGCTGGACCTGCTTCTAGGGGAAGATGCGTATTTGAATCTGTATATGTGTGCATATATCTATCCTAATATTATAGAAAAAAGGTTTGTTTAATTGATAAAATTTGAAACTACTGAAACGATTTTATTGTTTGTTTACTACTGTAAAGCTACATGATCCAAAAGTAACATAGGCTATATTTTTATTTTAATCAGAGTCTGAAATATCAACTAAGGCGTTCTCGAGCGAAGTGAATGTACGCCACTAGTACCTACCTACCTAATAAAATATTAACAAGCTAGAAGTCAAATAATATATTTTGAAAGATAATTGTTTGGTACTTCCAAACAATTATCTTTAATTATTAAAGGAAGAAGTAAAAATTTTGTAAAATTTGTAAAAATTTTGAGGACTTTTAAGATTTCCCCGTCTTTCTATAAGTAAAATCTCGCGTGACTGCATAAATGGGTGAACACCTTAATTATTTTTTCAATCACAGTAAAAGTTTTAGTTTGTCTACTCACTATTTCTTCTAACAAGTAGTACAATGGCTACTAAAGCAGCTAGAACAAGTAGAGACAACGCAGCTGGTAACAACACTCGCGCGCCGCCCAGAGACCGCGTGCCGGCCGCCGGTACTGCTGGAGAGACTTCACCTTCTAACACTGTAAAAGTATATACAGCTCTAAATATTACCTTATAGGTATTTTAGGGGAAAATGTAAAAATAACGTTATAATAGACAAGAATTAAAAGAATAAGACGAAAAAAATAAATATAATATCTCACTGCCAGTCAAGGAGTGCGTCGTGAAGTTGTAGAGCGCGAGCGCGTGGCCGGCGTTGTTGTGCGCCGTGATGCGCAGCTGGTAGTGCGCGGCGGCGGCGAGCCCGCTCACGCTGAACACGCGCTCCGTTGCTTGCACGCTGTTCGACACCAGTCGCCACTACAATGTTATAATATTGGGTTTTTTAAGGTTTATAAGGCTAAGCAAATATATATTTAAAAAAATGAAGTACAGGAGTCTAAAAGTGTGCTCTTAGTAAATAATTTCAAGAATTTCATCATATTCTGACTATTTCTTATTATCCATTTCAAGTGAAGAATATCTTAGACATCATGCACTTCATTTTGAAAATATTGATAATAATGACTGAATTATCATATCACTAGGTAGCTTTTATTTTTTGGTTTTTTTTTTTTTTTTTTATGTCTAAGTAATCATAAATAAGTCATAATTAAGAATAACGAAGAAAGTGCCTTGATGTTCGATTGGTAATATAATACTCGTAAGTATACAGACCTGCGATTGACTGATCTCCCTGTACTCTATAACAAAGTACAGTATCCCACAGCCGCCGTCGCCCCACGAGTCTAGCCATACCGTCACTGTTGTGGTGTTCAATGTTATCATTTGTGAATGTTTGGGTTTTACTGGCACTGAAATAATATTAAAAATTTCATAATTTCTTATATAATCCATCCATTGTGTCCAATAACTTTTAAAACCACATAAAACATTTAAATATGAAAATTCTTGTTTAGTCTATTTATGTTCGGCAAAGACATTTAAAAGCTTTTCATAGTTATTATTTTTTGTATCAGAAATTTATTCATACCAGTGCCCTTAGTGTAGGCGTGGACGATGTCACACGGCAACCCAGTGCCAATACGATTAAAGGCGGTAATGTATAGCTGGTAGCGCGTTCCGCACCAAAGGTTGGGCAAAACGTGTTCCGATGTACCAGCTTCTACTTGTAATTCTTCCCAGTCTCCGTGTTCTCGTTTATAGTTTATTACATAACCTGAAACGTTAGTTTAGTGCTTAGTGAAGTGAAATTATATATTTTTACAATCTTCATAACCATCAAAATATTGCATTTTATATCAATTTTTACAAATAATCAACGGATTTTACCTATCTGCGATTTTTATCTATACCCAAAGCGAATATAACTGGAACTGTCCAAAAATGTACATAGTAAAAATTTTACTGCATATTTTGATAAAAATATTAAAACTTATAAACTTTAAATTGCTTTTTTCTCATAATCTTATCATTACGGCATTCCCTGTTCTTTGCCTGTACCCTTCAAACGTAGTAAAGAATATTTAGACCAACAATACTAAACGATAGATTTAATTAGGTACATACATACATATATAAGATAGAGTAAAAGAGATTTTATTCTATTTTTTCTAACTTTAAAAACATATGTTTGACCGACATAAGATTCAACTGTCGTATTATGACCAAGCGAGCATTTAAATTAGTGCGACATAATAATATTTATACTAATATATCACTGATATATTATTTAAGCACAGTCTGAGTGCATTTGGAACTCATTCAGATATTTATCGACTTGACAACAAGTGAAGAACACTTCATTAATATTAACGTACACACATAATATATATGTATATTTGGTAAAAGAGTCTTAAGGCGAGTCGTCAAATCCATCTTCACAGTCATTTGTTATAAAAAAATTTTTTTACATTTTACAAAAATTATCATTTTAAACGTCGATCTATATTTACAAGGATTAAAAGATTACTTTTAAACATCAGAGGTAATTGAAGTAAACACCTAGGATAGGACTGCCGCCATCTCCCTGGTCGCTCCACTGCAAGTGCAGCGAGTCAGCGTAGGAGTCGACGACGGCCAGCACCGGCGGCTGCGGCGGCACCTTCACCTCCACACCGTACGCCACCTCGTCGCGGCCGTGCGCGTTTTCCACCAGGCACGTGTAGTTCCCGCTGTCCGCGTATTGAGTCATGCTGTTGAGAGTAAGTATATTATAAAATAATTTGGTTGATGACGTATACTCTATAGAACTTCAGGCAGTTTTAATTATATTTATGCAAAAAAAATCTCTATTGTTGCAGGAAAGGAGGATACACTTTACTATTGGTAAAATATATTTAGTTAGAGATATAGCAGTCAATAATAGAGATGTAGGTACCAAAGAATAAACTTCGGAGTTTAAATTATATTAAAAAAAAAGATATTTGTTGGTTGCAGTGTTTCTTATACTATATTATTATTATTATATTATTTATTATTTACTTAACAGAAATACTAATGAATAATATCGTTACGTTATCTTACCTAATTACAAGAGTCCCGTCGCTTGTAACATTCTTTCTCAAAGTGGACTCTAGTAGAACACCGTTCATGCTCCAAGTAGTAGAGGGTATGGGAACACCTACTTTGTTGCAGGCTAGAGATATATTTTCTTTCCATGGCGTAACTATACTGCGGCTGAATGATGTTATTCTTGCCGGTACTAAAACATATAAGAACTTTGTATCTAACAATATCTTTATAAATAATACTATGATTAAATTACTTTAGTAAATATTATAAGAGTACTACATACTTCGAATTATAAATGATCTGTAACTTCTAAGCAATCATAATTGTCAATTTACCAATAGTTTTGAAATATATACTATATAATATTATGTATGTATTTATACCAGTGTCAGTGGGCAATACAGTGACGACTCTCGTAGCGTCCCCTTCGCCGAGGCGCGTGGAGGCGGACACCCAGAACTGGTGCGTGGCGCGCGGCGGCGAGCGCGCCGTCTCGTGCGCCAGCGTGCTCGGGGACAGCATGCGCTTGTGAGTCCCTTCCTGTGAACATTTGCTTTATGTGTATATGTACATTATATCAGTGTTATATATTGTTCAAATGTTTTTACATTTATTAAAATAAGTACCGAACGACTTTGATCTAATTTTTTATGCTAATACTGCTTTTATATTTTTCAAATTTATTCTACACTTTTAAACTTTTTTATTTGACACTTTCCAGATAGTTAAAATCTTATTTAAGTATATTTTTAATAATTAGAAAACGAATGAAATATTATAAATAACATATTGTTTTAGTTTTATTAAAATTTAAACGTAAAATTTTATTCAAGTTTTAGAAATTGATAAACAATCATAATACCTCACGGCCGTCTTCAATGACGCTCATATAAAGAGTATATCCGACAAGGACCCCATTAGGCGAAGCGGGAGGCAACCAAGATACTAATATTTTATTCCGCGAAGATACAACTGCTTTGATGTCAGCTGGCGCCGATGGTACTAAGAGCAAAGAAAAATCATACGATTATTCTCTACTTAAAAGTTAGAAAAGTTACATTGAAGAAATTTCAAAACATCTAGGAATTAAACTAGGTTATATTCTATGAAAAATTTAAGTCAAACTCTTCTAAACATCTCCTGAAGTACAGCTGGTACTGGAAAGTTTTTAAATATTGTTATGGACTCGTATAAATAAACAGAGAAACATTTTATTCTATTCATTTTTATATTTGACTTTATCAGTTACGTAAAATTATAGAGTTATAAGATGATATTAAACGTAGATTTTCATAAATAAAATTGACTTTGTATGGTATAAATAATATTATTTTTTTAGGATAATTTTTATCTTCTTTAAATGTCAACTTAAGTTAAATTTCACGCTTATCGACTTCGTCATATAAATGAACTAGCATTGCCCGCGGCTCCGCCCGCGTTCAGATGACCAAAAACCAAATTCTTAGGTTTTACATATTAGTATACTCTTACATTGCAGTTTTTGTATTTTTGTAAAAAGTATCATATATGTTGACCCGGATAACCAGCTATCACCATACCAAGATTCATCAAAATCGCTCCAGTGGTTTTCCTGTGATGCGGTAACAGACAGACAGATAGACAAACATTCTAAAAACTATAGTTTCGGCCTCTGTATCGATAATAATGTTTATTTCAATAAGATTAATGAAGATTAGATAGATATTTACCGTCTTCTTCAGTGTGGCAATACACCGGCGCCGCCCTGACGCCGTCGCCTGCGGCAGTGAAGGCGCACACGGTCACCGAGTAGTTCGTGTATCGACGCAGACCCGATAGCGTTGTGTGCAATCCTGATATTTGTTTTGTTACGGCCTCTTCACTACCTGTAACAGAATTTTTGTAATACTGATTAATTCTGGTAAATGTTGGTTCTGTATAATTTCCTTAATATTTACAAGTCTTATTTAATTATAAAAACAATAATTCAGATTTTTCATTTCAGTTTCGCTCTTTAAATGATAAATACGAGTAAATGTTTTTGCTCACTAACTTTCATGTGACTAATTACTTGTACTGTTTTACTCTCCTGCAGTAAGTTTAATTGTAGGCACTAGAAAATAAACACGTACCATACCAGTCGGTGACGGGGGCATATGTAACCCTGTACCCTTGCAGGACGCCGTTGCGGCCGCGCGCCGGCGGCGGCTCCCACGTCACTCGCACTGACTGCGAGCTGAGCGCCGAGCATTGAAGCGAGCCAGGTGGCAAACTTGGCACTGTAATTATTGTAAATTCATTTATTCATTTAATTCGTAATAACAAAAATGGATACACATATATCTACTCATTAATCTAATAACAATTATTGTATAACAAAACATGGACAATGGATAATTATATTTCATATCACCTCCAGGTAAATTTCTAAGAAATTAATTAAAATTCTAAGAAATCTATTGTTAACTGACACACCGGCGTGTCCGCAGTCATGGAGGGAATATACAGTTAAAATTATAATAAAAACATGATTCTGTAGTTCATGCAATTGTAAATGCGATTAGTACGGATGCATTAACAAATCTGACAACTCAATAAAATCAATTAAGGAACAACATTTTGTGCTTTTTTTTTTCGACGTTCGCAAAAATCATATATCAAAATCTTTTTCCATTTTTTGGTAATATAGAATCAACTTATTGGTAATGATACTTAAGCAGACCAGGAGCTGTATGCATTTGTATGGATACCACAGACTTTCGAAACATCTAGTTAATTGAGATATAACAGTAATGATCCTAACGTCTTATATAATTCTTTATTTAAGTTAATAAAAACAGAATTTGCTACAATATTTACTTCTAAAACAGTCAATTCAGGGGGTCTCTTATCATTTAGTGAATGGGCAACACCTGGCATCTACAAGAGCAGGCAAAGACTATATGAACTGTATTGTGAAAAAGCTCTTAATCATAGTACATCGTTTGCTTCTTTTGTAAGTGCCTACTCAAAAATGTTAGGAGAGTATGTTCCATGGCGAAATCTTTGTATATTAAAGACAAAATAAAAAAAATCACATAATAAAGTAAAAGTGACATGGTACATAATTGCTTGTGAAAGCGGAAGAGTCACAGATCGCAGCTTCGATTTTAAATTGGATATCAACAATAATTTGATTTCTTCAAACCTAGAAGTTGCATCTGAGTTTGAAAAATTTTTCACTGACATTCCAATTTCGACAACGCAATCACTCAATTTATCTCCCGCTATTGCCGAATCTAAAAATGTATACCCCAAAGATATCATCTCAGTCTTCAAAAGTTTGGATGTCAAGAAAACCGCTGACCTATGGGGTATATCTGTAAAAGTTATTAGTTCGGTAATTGATGTTATTGCACCTCATCTAGCTACTGTATTTAATAGCAGTATAGAGCGTGGTGCGTTTCCTGATTTAATGAAACACAGCATAATTATTCCTATTTTTAAATCAGGTAGTACCTTAGACCCTAATAATTTTAGACCAATTTCGGTACTACCAACGTTTAGTAAATTTTTTGAAAAAATCATACTCGCGCAAATGTTAACGCATTTCAATGCACACAATCTACTTCATAAGAAACAATTTGGATTTACGAAAGGCCGCTCCACGGCAGATGCTAGTGTTGAGCTAGTGAAAAATATTTTTGAGGCTTGGGAAAGGTCACAAGATGCACTTGGGATATTCTGTTACTTATCCAAGGCCTTTGATTGTGTACATCATGAGACGCTGATCAGGAAACTGCATCACTATGGTATTAGAAATAAGGCACTCGACCTTCTGAATTCGTATTTAAAAAATAGAATACAGAGGGTTGATGTTAATGGTAAGAGATTTCCTGGAGCTCCATTAGGTATGGGGGTTCCACAAGGGTCTATTCTTGGCCCCTTTCTTTTTCTAATTTATATTAATGATTTGCCATTTTTTGTACAGGACAAACATGAGATAGTATTGTTCGCTGATGACACTTCACTTATTTTTAAAGTGAAGCGCAATTCGCTAATGTACGACAATGTAAACGATGCTCTCTCAAAGGTTGTCTATTGGTTTAATTCAAATAATTTATTATTAAATAATAAAAAGACAAAATTAATAAAATTCTCAACACCTAATGTCAAACTTGTTGATAATGGTGTAACATTAAATGGCGAAGTGTTAAAACCTGTAGAGTCCACTAAATTCCTAGGTATTATCAAAGATTCGAAATTGCAGTGGGGCCCCCATATTGAGGTGCTAGCGAGTAGGCTCAGCTCTGCAGCATTCGCGGTTAAAAAAATAAGACTTCTTACTGATGTAGATACAGCTCGCATAGTATATTTTAGTTATTTTCATAGTATTATGTCCTATGGTATCTTACTATGGGGAAATGCAGCTGCTATTAATACGATTTTTGTCCTGCAGAAAAGAGCTATTCGTGCAATTTATAGTCTAGGTCCTAGAGTGATAATTAAGAGATAACTTTAAAGAAATAAAAATATTGACTGTTGCTTTTCAGTACGTGTACGAAAATGTTATATATGTCCGTAAAAATATACACGAACTTCCCATGAAGTGTGACATGCAGAACATTATTACTAGGAGCAAACACAAACTTGTAATGCCTGTGACTCGTCTACACAGAGTCAGTAATTCTTTTTATGGGCAATATATACGCTTGTACAACAGGATCCCAGAAAACGTTCAAAAGGCCAATCTATCGCCAAATTAAAAAAAATGTTAAAGAACGTTTGTGTGCTAAAGGCTATTATACAATAAACGATTTTATAGAAGATGGCATACCTTGGGAATGAAATGATCGCCTCCAGGCTACTTCAACTTGATAAGAAATATTGTAAATTATAATTTTACTTTAAAAAAAGATTATACTTTAAGAAAAGTATTGGTCCCGCTGAGTTTCTTTCGCCAGTTCTTCTCAGGTCTGAGGCTTCTTCTTTCTGAACTGGTAGTAGACTCATGACGTTCAGTAAAAAATTGTAATAATTTAATGCTGAATAAAATATTTTGATTTGATTTGATTTGACTCTTACCATCTTCCATAGTAGTGGCAGTAGTGGGCGGCGAGGCAGGTCCCGCGCCGCGACTGTTGTACGCTTGGACGACCACCGCATACGCCGCATGCTTCTGCAAGCCCGCCAGGGTGGTGCGCGCGCGCGCCGTGCCCGCGCCCTCCACTGTTCGCACGGTGTAAGAAGCGCCGCCAGGGCCGCTTGCACTTAGAATGGTACTATTACTGTTTAACTGAAAAGAAATTGATAATTTGAAATAACTTATTAAAAAAAACAATTTGCTTTAGTTAAATATTAAAAAAATGATTGTATTTAATTATTGTTCTAACTTACTTCTTGAAATCCTACGTAATATCCTAAAATGTTTCCATTCCAAAGGTCTCGTTGTGGTGGATCCCAACTGACGGTTAATTCCGTCGAACTTTTTGCTTCAACTCGAACGTCTAAAGGTGGCCCACTCGGTACTGCAACGTGCATCAAATATTTTAAAAATATATTTTCTAATTAATAAAAATTATTCATTTAAAGTTTAAATGAACACGAATACCATTCGATTAAGTTATGAAAGTTTATATAGCCAGTGTAGTTCTATTTACTGTGTCAGTAACTTTTGTCTAAAGTTATACAGTGGAACTATTATAGTTGAGGCAAGTAAATTACCTTCTTCAGTTGTTGTAACTTGTACGAGTTGACTGGGTTCGCTTTGTCCGAGACGATTTTCAGCAATTATACGCAAGTGGTAAGATGTAGCGGGTTGGAGATTTTGGACACTGGCTGAAGTCACACTCCCAGGGACTATTACTTTTTGTGGTGTTGTTGGCCATGGCTCTAAAAGGTCAATGGCTAATAATAATTAATGGATATTGTTGTGTATTTGAGAGAATTGAACGTGTATACGTCAAAATAACACTCTTGAGCTATGATTAAGACTAGATGTTATGACAGTTATCAATATATAATAATATAATATGAGAAATATTACTGATCTAGTAGGAAAAAGACGAAACACTTTCCAGATAAGAATTGACCTTTCTAGAATATTTTCGAATTTCTGATACTTAAAATAATCTTTATTTATTCATACAAAGTTTAATTTATTATTATTTAGTAATAATTTGCACAAGTGTAATTAGCAGTGGAAAATAGTGTTTAACTAACTCGCGGGAAGTTAACGCAATAAAGCATCAATAGTATAAATGACGTCTTAAACTTTCCGATCCCAGAACCCTATCTCGTAACAATATATATTAATTAGTCATTACAATGAAATCTATAAAGTTGTTACCTGGTGCTTCCTTATATTGGACGATGTAATTTATAATAGGACTGTTGCCTGCGTATGGTTGAGTCCAAGAAATTTGAATAGATCGTGATTGTTGATCTATGATTCGTATATTTTTTGGCATTTCTGGAACCTAAATAGCGTTGAAATAATTTAATTATTTTTAAATCTTGAATTAAAAGTTTTAAGTGTAAATATATATATATAAGTATTTTACCTCTTGAACTACGAGATGTATCAACATTTCATCCTGTCCGTATGCGTTAGAGGCTCGACATGTTAAAGCTCCTGTGTCTTGGCGATATGTTTGAAGTATGCTCAACTCAGAAACTAGCCCGTCATCTAATACTTGCTCTCGTATGGTATACCTATAAGTTTTTAAATATAACGTTAACCGTTATATATACATTATATTAAATTGTTTTGTAATTCCTATTTATTTTAAAACAGCATTGTTCGTTTTGGGAATTATTATTTATCGTTAAAATTTCCATGTCATGATTATAGAGTAGTGTAGAAGTGGCTAGATTAATTGAGGATGCCAACTAAAATAAAGGATGGGTTAAAACGGCAAAAAATAACATGATTCTATAATTTTTACTTTAAATTTTTTTTATCCTAATAAACTAGTATGTACACAGCATAAATAACCTTTGATCTAGATGATGAGCAATCGTATGATGATGAGGACTTCGCCAGCTTACTTCGAGTGGTGCATCACCTGATGCAGCACATTGTAAATGAGCCGCTTCACCAGCTGTCACTTGCACTGTTTTACTCTTCATCGGAAATCGAGCAGGTGCTATAAATATCAGTAAGAAATTGAATTCCCTTTTAGTAGAACAAATTAAGTCAAAACATTTACATAATCCACTTAAAACTTTGTTTAGTTTTCCGAGCCACTGATATGTACGTTTTACGAAAGTACTAGTAGAGAAGACAAAATAAAATTGGTAGAATACGATTGGCTTGAAAGCTAAAATGTTTACAAACTGCCCGGAACGTGACCGAACCGAGGTCCGAACTAACGAAACTATACGAGTGCCAAAGTACCTAGAAACTTGTTAGTTTTGCATAAATCGAACCCGTGTTTTACTTTGGGCTCCGAGTAATCCTTGTTGATATTTACGGTAAGATTTGTTTTGTCTGTTGAACGTGAGAAAATTTGCAATTTTATTTATTAAGATTGGCGGCACGCCTCTACAAAGGTATCAATTTCTTTTATAAAAAATTGGTTCAAATTGCTGACCTGATTGATTTTGAATAGGTTCTAGTCGAACATCAATCTTAATTTTATCGAAAACTCAATTTTATATTTTATATGCCTATTTATCTATACTAATATTATAAAGAGGTAAAGTTTGTGAGATTGTGAGTTTGTGACGTTGTAGGTGGTAATCTCTGGATCTACCGAACCGATTTAGATGAAATTTGACATAAAAAGATAGTTTGAGACCCTGGGGAGGACATAGGATACTTTTTATACCGGAAATCATACCTAAAGGGGATGAAAATGGAGATGAAAGTTTGTATTGGGAATCAAGCTAGGGACGCTAGTATTTTATTTTCATTTTTGTCAATTTTTATTACAGTTAGTTTCACAGGTTTGAGTTTATGATTTTACCTATCTTTTAAAAATCATAATATCGATTTAAAATTTTATAAGACAAAGTCAAATTTAAGTCGGGTGGTATCCGTAATAGGATTTCCCAACTATAAAAAAAAAAAAAAAAGGTGTCAGAATAAAGGAACTCTTTCATAGACACTAGTAGAATCAGGGTTTATTAGATTTGTTTTCAGGAGTCTTATACATAAGAGTTGGTTAAAAGAATATTTTTGTTTGGTTTTTAGTACCTACTATAACATTATTAGTCTTGATGCATATTTATTTTTAATTAAAATATAATATTTTCAAAATAAGTCCTCTATTCTACCTGGCATGAAAGCGTGTTCCCCGTTTCTGTTAAAAAGGCTGTAAAATTTTAATAAATATATTTGTATGTGCTTATTAAAAAACTTAAATAATCAATCATAATTTTTGAGGATTTCTTCATTATAATTTTTGATAGTCTGGTAGGTATAATTTTTTTAATCAGTTAAAAAAATAAGTTTGTTTACCATGAGTTTAATTTCATTATATTGACTTGTTAGTGGGGTAACGGCATAAAGCGTATCCTTTACAAAGGCAAGGTATATTCAAACATGAAACCTTTATTCACCCCAAAACTAACGTAATCACAGTGCGATAAATTGGTAACATATAGAGTTTTAGACAGTTTGCTGAACGTCAACGTCGTAATGGATAGAGATATATTTGCTCCACAAAAGCCAATATCGTCGAATACAAACACGTACACGAAGTTATTCTAGTGGAAGCCAACTGTCTCGTTTTCCAATAAAGAGGAGACGTATTGCGACGTACGGCCATTGAGTTTTCTGCACAGACGCGCCCGACTTCCGGCGCTCACAATTGAGCCCTTTCTTTGTTGCCTTTCTCGTTTGTGTCTAATTACCTTATAAGATAGATTATATGGAGGACGTGGCTGTGATATATTGTATCGGATGCCAATAAGTAATAAGGATCAAGATTTATCGAGTTACATTAGATTGCACGTTTTATACCAATCGCTACGTTAAGAACCATGCACGATGTGTTTACGTGATTGAAAAAATATATATCTTTCTGATTATTTTAGATAACAAGGTTTTCTTTTAGAAGCTAATCACTTCATATTATAAAATAAAGTCCCAAGCCGTCTTTATCTGTTTGTCTGTCTGAAAGTGATAAGCTCAAAAACTACCAAACGGATTTTCACCCGGTTTTTACTAATAGGCTGAGTGGTTCATGAGGAAGTTTTATGTGTATAATTCATTAAAGCTTTGGGTAAATTGATTGAAATATGATGGTTGGCGATTGGGGGCGTTATTAGCGAGTTATATGAAAACAATGAATTACGGAATTATTCCTCTCAAAAAGATTTATTAAATTATAGCAACACTATAGCGTAATTATATTCGTGGTAAGTGACTAGTTAAGTAGAAAAATAAATTCTTTCAATTTCAACAATGAAGTTTATAATTCCGTAATGGTAATATGTAGGTTTGGTAGTTTATATGATATACGAGTATAAAATAAAAAAAAATAAAAAAATATTTTATTTACATAAAAGGTGTTGACAAAGTTAGTGGTTGAGGTCCTCTTTTAAGCAAGTAATTTTTGCCTGTATTAGGAAACCCTGCCATCCCATAACAAAACGTACAGATTTTTCCTTAATCAAATTTTACGAGGTAATACATTAAACTTAAAAAAGTAAGTTAATATAGATGCAAATTAGTAGGTACAATATAACAGTCTTTCTTTATGTAGTAATTAAAATAATATATAAAGTGCCAGATTCAATCTTAGCGCCGCCCCTGGGCACTATAAAAATGCCGCCTTATTATCGAAAATTGAATAAAATGTTGAAAGGTAAAAAAATAATTAATCATGATTTTTTTGAAAAATGCAAAAAAGTAATTTAAAAATGATATTTATTTTTCGAAAAATGTACCTACTAGTTAATCTTTTTTTATTGTTCATTTTTTGGAAAATATAAAGGATTTTCGATAACGTGAAGAAATTATTTTTCCCGCAGATTTTGCGGCCTTGGGAACTAACCCCGAGTGCCCCTAGTGTAAATCCAACGCTTTATATATCTGCTTGAGTTAGGAGATACACCTAATAAATGGGTTTTACATAAAGTTTATTTTTTAATTTGTTTTATTTCTTTATTTTATGTAATAATTTTAGAAAAAGAATTATGAAAGATGCGGTAAATACTTATGATATCATCGCATCTGCCCGCTTGCATAAAGGCGTCCTTTGTATGTATAATACTCTAAAAATATTGTTATTTAATTTATTCTGTTTCTTCAACAAAGTTTATAGTGTATTTCTCATTTTCTATTTTATTTATAAACGGCAGTGTACTTTTAATAAGAAAAGCGTCCTTCCCGTCCACGCAGATGAAGTTCTTATGAAAACAATAGTTAATAAAGAAAATTGTAGAGACATTGCGTTGCGAAGACTTCGCACATTTACCATTGTTTTCAGAACAAAAATGTATTACTTCATTTTTCACTTTTCAGTGATATTGAAGTTTTATTATATCAAATTTGTTTCAGTGGGATAATTTTATTCTGATACTAGCGACTCACCCTCGCTTCTCTCGGGTTCGTCCCTAGGTTAATTCCCCATACAAACTTTCATCCCCATTAACGCCCCCTTAAGGGATGATTTCCGAGATAAAAGTATTCTATGTCCTTCCCAGGGTTGCAAACTATCTTTTTACCAAATTTCATCTAAATCGGTTCAGTAGATCCAAAAATTACACCCTACAACGTTACAAACTCACAAACTCACAATTCACAAACTTTACCTCTTTATAATATTAGTATAGATTGAAAAATGGGTTTGTAGTTTAGGTCATTCTTTTCGTTCCATCTATAGTATGATAAGCGGAACTAGTTCTTAGAGTTCGCGGACGGCGGAAACATGCAAATATTGAGTTCTAATACCAATAAGCGGTTATCCATCAAATCTCTATTAGTGGTGAAGTAACATGACTTTGATAATCTAAAAATTTCTCATTGAAGCTGTACCACAATCTGTACAATATACGATTGCTATAAATTCTTTATGAATTAATGAAAATAACATAGCATTTGGGACTTCAAACATGATTCTCTAAATACGCTTTTAATCTACATTTTTTCTTGTGCTACTAATTCGCAGAACCAATAAGTATAAGCAGCAATGGAGGAAAAGAATTTTCATTTTAGCACCGGAATTTTAGTGTCTAACGTCATAGAATATCAGGAAATTCCAATGGCATTTATAACGACAAAAAGGCCGCATTTCCAGATATCTTTGACATTTTTCCCTATCTATAAAATACCTTTTTAAATGATATTAAGAATTTAATTATTTATATTGAAATTTAAATATCCGCCTGCAGTCTTTGATGAAATAAAAAAAAATATTAATTTAATACTGTCTTAGATTTACGCGAATATTTGACATTTTAAATAAATAACAAAAAATTAACAAAATGAAAATTGCACCATTTACCTTACAATATTTTTTTAACTTTAAACATTTTTATGATTTTAATTTAGATTTATAATTGAATATGGAATATTATTTATTTAATTTTGCTGCAATTTTGGTGCAATTTCTTAATTGTGGGTGGGCTGTCTGTAACAACTATACCTTCAAGACATGTAACGCCTCAGTCTCTCCCGTGACCATGGATGCTGTAAAGCATTCGAAACGTCGGGAACCAAAAATCAAAATAAAACCGCGGAATAATCCGAAAAGGTAGTTTTATTTAAAAATATTAATTCTTAAAATTTGGTTTCAATATAAAAAATAATATGCTATATAATTATTTAAGTTTTTTTACAATAATTAATTACCAGAGAAAAATTAAATAATACAGCTAGATTATTTAAGTACAAATACAACTTACCATTGACTTTTAGAAAAATAAGTTTACTAAGTCCTGCTCCTATATCATTGCGCGCTTCGCATAAGTAGTGGCCTTCGCTATCTTTTGCGACCCGTTCAAACACCAGAGAACCATTATCCAAAACCCTGGAGCTTCCTTCAAACATAAAGTCCTTATATTCTCCAGGAGTGTTGCCTGATTGAAAAATAAACGGAAAATAGTGTTACATTTTCATGTTATACTTCTCAGACTTTGAGATGAATCTGTACGTCGTTATATTATGTTGTGAATATATAAATATTATGTTAAAAAAATTACAATTAAGAAATTAAACCTTACCAACGGCCTTCTTCCACGTTATATTAGGTTTTGGATATCCGTCAGCCTGGCATTGCAAGGTCACATCTTGACCGGCAGCAACGGCCACATCGTTGGGCTCCATTCTCCATCGTGGAGGTACTATTATTATAAATGTTATTTTGTAAAAATAAATAGAATATTATTTTTCAATCAAAAAAGTATATTGACTTTAAGATCACTTCACAGAAATAGAAAATCTGTTTCGAAATGGCGAAGATAAAAAAATACAACGGTATTGGATCAAAACCGTAATTAAAATTATTCATTTAAATTCACATACCGTTCACGGTCAGAGGTACAGTAAACCGCTCAGATCCAGCAACATTTGAGGCTATACACGTATAATTTCCACTATGAAGTGATGTTATATGTTCGATTACTAGTGAAGCACTGTATTCATCCATTCTTCTTGTTATTATACCACTGGGGGCATATGGTGACGATGTCACAGGCTGCCCATTTTTCTCCCAGCGGAATGCAATCGGCAAATCGCCCTCCAATATCTGACAGGAAATAGCTGCTCTCATGCCCTCCCTTAATAAATTCGTCAGCGGCTGAATTGGCAATATCTTTGGTTGAACTGAAAACAAGAAATATAGTTGATGCCTGAAGTTTGTCTGCAATCTTAATTGCAATTTTGCTATATAAATATTTAGCTTAACACGCAAAAATAATCTCGTAACTTTTTAATGATTACTTAACGCTAATATTTTGTTACCATTTGCAAATTTTATGTTCTAATCTTTTTGAAGTTACCCTTGGGTAATACAAACTTTAATATTTTTGTTAAAGTAGCCTATTAAACAAAAATTTAAAGACCTATGACGAAAACGCTGAAACTGCTAAATTTAATGAGATACGGATGAGTAATTTTTTCCGTTACGAATTTGTGAAGTAATTTTATGAAAACCTAAAATTTTTCGGAGATAAAAAAAATATATTATAAAAATTTTACGTTTTATGTTTGAACCGAGTTTAAGAACAATGCTATAATATGATAGGTCTTAATATCTACTACCCTTATTGTGATATACCAGTACATAATATTATGTTTGTTAGTTCTGTTTCTGCTCTCTCCTACTAATGTCTAGTTCTTACAATACATGTGCAAAAAAATGTGAAAGATCATACAATATGATATGTAAATTAGTTACTAGCTGCAGCATCACTCGCATTTTTATTTTTAATTCATCTATTACCTTTTAAAAGGGAGTCTGAAATGGCGTGGCGTCGCTCTTCAATTTGTATCATTCGACTTTAACTGCCTCGGTGGTGTAGTGACTAGCATGCATAGCATGTACGGCTACATTGCCGGAGGTTCTGGGTTCGAGTCCCGGGTCGGACCAAATTTAGTTATTGAGTCTTTCTGTATAGTAAGCCTCAGTAAAATCCTGGAGTTGGGAAGTTGGCGGTGTTTTACCCCCGTGCCTTGGAGAGCACGTAAAGCCGTCGGTCCTGCTCCTTAACTCTCACTGGTCGTGTCGAGCATCGTCCCACCGGAATATGCATATGAATACAGGAATAGAGAGTGCACGTTGTGTCTGCGCGTACACTTGTGCACTATAATATCTCCTGCGCAGTTGGCTAGTCTCAATGAGTCGGGAGCATATTATTATCATTCGATTAGTTCGAAAGAAACTTAGTAATATTCTTTATAATTTTGTGGTTTTATGTCATAAATAATAAAAACTGTTTTAATTTAATTATTTTCTTTTCTATTTGTTCTTATCTATGAGAAATATTTTTTAAATTTGATATGGTAAAACACGTACATATTCCAGCGTTTACTTTTCCTTACGTAGCTTATATGTAAATATTAATATTTTTGCTAAATTAACTGATTCTAAAATTGCTTGTCGATATACAATTAAAGAATCAACAGAAAAGAAAAAGAAGGTTTTATCCCTCTCCCTTGTATACCTTTCCTTTTTAAGCTTTGATGGTGCTGTAGTATAAACGTGCTAAGACTTTGGTTTTAAAATAATAAAAATTAACCCAAAAAAGGGTTTCGTCAGATAAAAGGCAAATATTTTTGTTATTTTGGTTATAATTGAAGTGTCTACATTTTTTTACATAATAATTAAAATACACAAGCGGAAACTGACAGCAATAGCTTCTATTTACTAATGAAAATTGAAATAATAATTGAGTCGAAAATAATACCATATTAAAAAGCATCTCGCTGCCTACTGATTACAAACTAAATATATGTACGTGTGACTTGCCGAGAGAACTATGTACATTCTAACTTTTATATAATAAAAATGTCAGAATAACAATGTAAAAGGAAATTACTTTATTTAAGGAAAGATTAAATTAAATATAGAGCACAATATCGAGATTTGATCTTTTTGCTCAAAGAGTACAAAGACGACAACCACTTTGCAACGGTTGTAAGAAGATTTCAATTGTTAAAAGGAATAATGGGGCTTAGGTATAATTGAGAACAATATAATATAATAATATATAATAAATATTTTCATGATTTGAGGATATCGTTATTTATAACTATTTAGTACTAATTATATCGCTTTAGGAAACATTATACTTGCTTGACGTCATTTGTGTTTTTTTTTGCTAAATTTGGAAATAGGCGTATTAACAAATGACAATATGGAATATGCGTGTGGTTTAAATAAAAGTGAAATATATATTTTTTAATAATCTTTATTGTTTTTGTATTAAACCTATACTATTATTTTTAATGTAATTTCTTTTTGATTAAGAAAATAATTATTAAAAAGTGTAAATATAGGTGTGTAGTATATATCTATAGGTAAGAAATTCAAAGTAGTTGAAACACAACGCCAATGGTCATACCAAATATGACGTCAGAGTATATTATAACAGAGCGATTAGCGATTTTGTTGCTACAAATTGCTTAAGCAAAAGTCGTAATTTTTTTGTGTACTTATATACTTTGACGTCATGCAAAGGGCACTATATGGCGGGCGTTTAAAGTATTCGTATCAGTATGCTATTATTTTTTATACAGAATTTGATGTTTTTGGAGATGGATATTTTTTTTACAATTATATAACGATGTAATCTAGTGTATAAAAATAAAAAAAGCCACGCATACTCCGTATTTTTATTATTTTATTCTCTATTGTTGTTAAGATGTCACACTAATTTTGGAATCGCATAATCTTAATTAAAAAATAAGTCCAGTTAAGCTTCCTCCTAGTACTGAAAATATCATACCCAGTATTTGATGAATGTTTTATACTTGTACGAAAATATTTGAAAGTTTTTACGCATTATATATAAATTTTTACACATTATATATAACGCATATACTTACGAGTATGTACACAAAACTCCATTTACAGTATAGCTTAGTTGCACATTTTAATTTTATTTAAATAAATATTTATGTATGTTAAAACAGGACGGTAGGTTCTCGCAAAAACAAACACGGCTTCTGCGGGTGACGTCTCTAGGGATTAATTAACGATAATTACCATATCAACATTTGCCCACACAGCTTCCGCCGTAAGCTTAGAATATTAATTAACATATCGTAAATTATATTATGAAATAAAAAAATATTTAAGTAGACCTGACCTGCGTTCATTTTAACTCTGCCCGCGTACCTTTTAGTTTCTTTTTGTAATAGTGCCTATATCAGTCTTTGCTTCATATACAAATCTTTTTACAAAAATTAAGCGGATTCGCGTCAAACCAAACAATAAATTATAGGAGTTATAATAAGTAAGAACTAAGAAGTGACCTAACAAGAAACTTTTCAACATTGTGAAATTTGATTTCATATTGTGAAATGAACTTTTTACTTTTGTATTGGTTATATGTATGTAATGCTATATAGTATACTAGCATTGCCCGCGGCTCCGCCCGCGTTCAGGTGACCATAAAACAAATTCTTAGGTTTTACATATTAGTATTATTCTTATTATTATTTATGTTGGGTGTGGTGCCGAGGTCGGCCCTAGCTACGTCGACCAGTTTTGGTCCATTGTATATAATAATAATTTTACATATTAGTATACTCTTACAATGCAGTTTTTGTATTTTTTCTCAGAAATGAGATATTTTCCCGCGGTAAAAAGTATCCGATATGTTGACCTGGATAACCAGCTATCATCATACCAAATTTCATCAAAATCTGTCCAGTGGTTTTCTCGTGATGCGGTAACAGACAGACAGACAGACAGACTGATTCTAAAAACTATAGATTCGGACTATGTATCGATAATAATGTCTATTTCAATAAGATTTTCCAAAAAAATATTTAATGTACAGATTCGACTTAGTTACAATTTTATTATATGTATAGATAATTTATCTAAACAAATATATATTAAGTACTAGTTTTATAGTATACCTAGGATTTGTACTTCCACGTCCCTCCGCGCGACGTGTCGTTGCCTGTTTGCTGCTTGGCAGGTGTAAGTGCCAGCGTCTTCGCCACGTTGAGTCTGCTCCACTATGAGGGTTCCGTTGGGAAAAACCTTCTGCCGTCGATTTAATGGTAGAGTTTGGCCATCTGTTATAATATTATGAATAGATATCAGTTTTTTAAGGCAATGGCTATTTAAATGGCTAATTAAGGCACTGGTTCTATTTCCACATATTAAGAGCTGGTCAGAATCCAATTAAAACGAATCCTGACTTAAAATACTAACAGTAAATGAACAGTCGCTGATTACTTTATGAGCTTCTTCTTAAAAAGATAGAGGATAAAGATAATGAGATGTATTATTTGACTCAAACTGTAAAATAATAAAGTTAAATGGAAAAATTCAGCCATTTATCGGAGTTGCAAAAGTTATGTTGAAATATGATGCGCTATTTGGCCAGCTTTCGTAAATAATAAGTTGTGTTTAACTTTTTATATTAAAAACTGAAAAGGGTCGGCCAAAAATAAAATTAGTTTCAAGCTTTAAATTTTTCTCTTTCTCCGTTAGAATAGAAATAACCAATATTACATTTTTATATTTATAGTAAATTGTTATCAAGTTTTAATATAAATGGTTTTATCTTGTACTATGCGAATATAATAATATTAATGTCATTGCAATTCTAGTTTCCGCGAATCGTCTGAAAAATAATAAAAGCCTTTTAAAGGCTTCAAGCCTAATGAGATCTCTATGAAAAGATAAGATCGTTGTTGACAAGGGTCGCAGAGGAAAAGGAAAATTACGAAGGAGTGACCGGCGCGAGTCTTAATTTGATCTTGCCCAGTAATTTTGTTAAACGGGCTACGGAGTTTACGGTCTGATATTTTCTTTATGTATCTTTGATCTGCGTAAAAAAAGTGTTGTCAAAATTGCTCTATTTTTGCTGAGCCCCACAAGTTTCTAAAGGTATTTTTAGCTATCTATTATACAAATAACGTAAAATTAGGATATTGGCTAAATTATCACTTGAGTTGTTTGTAGCTATCAAAGAAGCGTAAATGATACTATACAGATACTTAACGCTTTTCTGATAACTTCACAACAAAATCTCTTTGATTAAGAGATAGTATTACTTAAAGAAAATACTGCGAAATATCTTGCAAAATATAACTTTACGTATAATTAATGTAATTGAAAAAGTCAGATTATATGTTTAGAATTAAATAAAACACATGCTTAATGTTCCGCAGCTCCTTAAAGACGCAGGCTTAGAAAAAATTGTAAAAGTTAATATGAATCTAGGGCGTCGTTAGGTCACAATAACGTTGTCACATTTTGTCTCGGAAGTGTCAACAATCTCGCTCCAGAATGCTGACGTCATAGAGACTTTCAAACCATTCTTTGTATATTTTCGCCTTCGCTTACACGCCCTAGTTTCCTTAACGACCTGTTGCTAAGAAGAAAGTTACTCTCTGTCTCCCTTGAGTTTAATTCGATACTCTTGCAGTAAAGTGTCCTTTCAAGCGCTTGGTTAAATCTGAAATATATTTGATTTTCCCCATTTCGCTCCAGCCATTGTGGAATTTACTGTGCGCCCTGTTTGATTTTCCGTCTGATACACGGATTTACTAGAGTACGTGTGGCTTATGTTGATCTGTTTAAACTGGGCGAATTGTATTTCAACTTTATAGTTGTTCACAATATAAACGAGATAAACGGTAGACCTCTGTCACATTAAATGAAATAGATCTTAATAAAACTGACAGAGGATGGTGTTATGTCTTTACTGGGTCATAGTAGGTGAAGATTTGGTAAGGCTATATATAATATACGTTTGATATCAATATATACATAAGTTTAGTAGTACTTCAGAATTAAAGATATTTATAGAGTTAAATACATTTTTTTAAGTAATGTGTCCCTACAAACGGGTAATAAAGCAGAAGGAATTCGAGATGAGAGTAACCTCTGAAGAGCATCAAGATGACAATACAATTTTAACATATAATATCATGAAAAGATGAAACAAAATATCTATTAAACAATAACGGAAAAATGTACTCGTTTTCATTATAATAAATATATCTATCTTAAATTTAGAAAAATGTATAGGTAAGTTTGTGATAATAAATTATACCATAATCTTAATTTTGTAATATTATACTACTTAAAATATAGAGTCAGGAAAAAAATTGTACACATCCATATATAAAAAAATCTTAAGCATCAGTAATTATTATTAATATATTTTATTACTACCGAATTTTGCCAGCTTACCTCTCTCCCATGAGATCGACTCGATCGGATATCCGGCAACAGGGCATTTAATGTTCAAATCACTGCCCGCTACCGCCGTCACTTTCGGCATTTCCCGTATGTACGGGAGACCGTATACGTTGACCCTGGCCGCGTGCAGCGCTCGGCCCGCGGAGTTGGCGGCGGCGCACGCGTACTCTCCGCCGTCTTGCTCAGTCACTCGGCTGATGTTGAGATGGCTAACAACATCGTCTTGGAGTGTCACATGTTGGCCGACAACAAACCTGTTTGGAGTTGATTTTTCAAATAAAAATTATAACTAAGGTATTGTTGTCGCTAACATAAATGATTCTTGTCATTAATAAAAATGTCTACTTTATATATATGTATCAATATTATTTATTAGTACATATAACCATTTTTTTTCAATAGGAGGTTTCAAGCCAAGCTCGGCTCAGATGGCGTCACCAGAGCATTTTTTACTACTTTATTAAACAAATAAAAATATTATTTATAGACTAAATAGCTAGTTACCTCGAATTTGTTGGAATGGGAAATCCATCTAAAAGCCACGTGAATTGTGGCGTAGGATGACCCATCGCGACACATTTGAGTGACACACTAGGCCCAGGCTGAAGAGTCTGCTCCGAGAACCAATATACCAGTTCTGGTTTCGATTCTGCGAACAAACGCCTTATTTGTATTACGAACACACAGTTTTTATGTTTTCTTATAAAAAATATCATGTAATAATTATTGATACGAAAACCGTTTGAGAATTATCTTTAGAACAAGTTTTAAACTCTATATTAGGTTTCTTTTTGTGTGACTTAATTTATGTTTAATAAATTATCTAGTATTGAACAGAAAATTGTTTAGTTGTTTCATTTTTATTTGTATGGAAAATGGAAATTGTATCAAGAAAATGAACTAAACCCCTTGCGCTAGCTAGTATTTTTCTTGTGGAAAAAAGAAAAATAGTTTGTGTGAAGAAATGAGAGAAATCTTAATATCTAGAGCGTGAGGTCGGGGCAAAATGTATGCCTAGTGAGGATCCAGTTTAATTTGCGCTTCGACTAAGCGGCATAAGTAGTTAAGGTATTATGGAAATAGGCGGGTCGCAAATCCGGCGCCCGCTCGCTCTGGCACGAATCTTTATAGGACGGCGGTTACGTAGATCTTTATAAAATAGACTATATTTTTTATTAATTGCTAAAGGATTTAGAAATATAAGAGACAAAAATGTTGAAATATTTTGAGGTACCTATATATATTACTTTAAAAGCAGATATGTAATTATTTATTTCATGTTAATTAAGTGTTACGTAAAAGTTCTAGATGATACTTTCATTAACATACATTTTCCTAATGAAATCCTAATTAAATGTATATTTAAATATACTTTGAAAGTTGTATCCATCTGGGTTCATGGCCAGAATGTAAGCTGCATTTTCCCGCTGAATGGCAATGCAGAAATTGCGAGTTCATTTTTTCCCCACATAACATAAAATTCGCATATGTTGGATTTATTTATTACATTTAATATGATTTTAAAAATTGTTGTATAAAATTTTACTGCTGTATTAATAATAAATACAGTGTAGTATTTACACTGTATATATTTTTAGGCAGTGGTAGCCCAGTGGTAATGCGCTCGCTTGGGAAACCAAGTGAAGTGGGTTCAAATCTCGGGTCTCGCACCTCTGATATTTTCATGTGTGAATCATTTTTAACATGATTACCATTTGCCTTACGGTGAAAAAAAACATCGTGAGGAAACCTACATGTCTGAGAGAACCTAGCAAGTTTTCAAAAGACATGTGAAGTCCGCCAACCCGCACTTGGCTAGCGTGGTGGACTATGGCCTGATCCCCCTCGTATTGAAGGGAGGCCCGAGCCCAGCAGTGGGACGTTAAAAAAAGGGCTGAATACAACTACATACAACAATATTTTCACTTGGAAAATAATGGTCGGCAATAAATTCGTTGGCTTACTATTACAAGGTTCTATATTAATTTTAATGAAGTTTAGTAATTTTTACATAGAACTTCGTTATTTTGTTATAGAAAAAAAACAACATAGAACTATGTAAAATTGAATATTTTGTAGTTATAGTGCCGCTATCTAGTGGTTTGTTTTTTCAAAACTGTAGCTAAAGACACAGAACCTTGTAGCATTAATAATTAAATAAGTACTAAAATTGTAACATAGAATCTTGTAATAGTGAGCCAACGTATGCTAGCTAGAGCGTTTCAAGATACATTCGCTTAGTACATTAAATATATCATATTAAGATAACATTTTATAAGACTTTAGTGTGTCTATAGATGTAAAATATAAATGTAACATAAATACACTGTAAAACGGCTTGCAGCTTGGCTCCATTCTCTTCGAACTCGGTGTATGAAACTAAGGCTCTTAAATGTTGCACTTAAAAGTATTTCTATATATTATGCAAATGCTTTAGAAGAAGGAAAACTTCTTTTTCTATGAGATCCTAATAGCTGTATTTTATATCTAGTACAGCTTGCTTATAATTCTAATGCTAATCAGTCTTGAAATTTAGAAATTAGTACTAAATTTTGTTTAGTATATTTATTTTTACATTATTTATTTACTTTATTTAAATCTTATCTTCTAAATAGCAGGAAGAAGATGTCAACATCTTCGTTTAAAAACTAATACAGTTAACTGATACTTTGTTTCGCTTTGAAAGTTTAGGCTAAAGTTGTAGCTTGTTAGGTGAAACTTTAAAGTTCAGCTCCTTCACATTTCGTAAGCAGACACGTAAAATGCAAATATGCTCTAATATTTTGTATGAATAAACGAGATAAAGGCTAATGTATATATGTGTATGTTTATAATAAAAATATGTTGGGACATTAACACACAGCACCATCTAGTTCCATGGTAAGCTACGAGGCTTGTGTTATGGATACCAGATAGTTGATACACTACACATATATAACTTTAAATACATACATATTATAAATATAAACACCCATGACTGGGGTACAAACATTCGTCATCACAGAAATGCCCCCAGCGGGACTCGAACCCGCGACCGCTGGCACAACAAGTAGGATCACTACAAACTGAGCCAAACGTGTCGTCAAAATATCTAAAGGACAATTAAATTGTACTTTATCGAGAAGTAATGAAAGTCAAATATTTACTATCTTAGATTTTATATAATATGTAAAATCTTAAATTAGATATATTTGAAAAAGTAGTTAAGTATGGTAAAATTATAATAGAGTCAAACTTCTGCATCACTTTCTTTTAGTTAACGCTAAGGTTGCATAAATAAATTAACCGTTTTTAATTTTTTTTCTATTTGCGTATGTGTTTTGTGCCATGCATCACTCAAGATCTGGACTCAAGAACTCGAGGCTTTTGAAATAGAATGCATCTGAAATTATATACTTAATTTTTTTATAGCTCGATTGAAGCAATCTAAATAGCAATATTTTATATATCCAAGCAAGCCTAATTAATGTGTTTATTACAATATAAAACATAAAGTTTACTTAAATTAGAATAAAATTATTTTAAAATTAATCCTTGAATGTAAGAACAAAAGTAAAAACCTCTAGAGAATTCAAAATTGTATTAGCTTTATAAGATTTTACATTTATTCACGATCCATCTTTCCCGGACACCACTCCCGATTGTGTCTGATTATGTATCTCTTTCTAATCCCTTTGATAAATTAATCTTTCCTTTCATGTTTTACTGTGGGATCTAAAGATTATGGCTATTTAAATCACTTTGCTGAAATTACATTGTTTTTCAACAAATTACAAAATAAAACTTTGGTGTTTTGCTTATTTTGTGGTTAAAAGCTCTGCTTTGTTAGATATTTATTTCTGACTAGCCGTTTACACTCGCTTCGCTTCGGACTCGTCTCGAGACAAAAACAAATCTGTCCCACGGGACCCGTTCCTTTTTTTTCCTGGATAAAAAGTAACCTATGTGCTATTCCAAACTATAATCTATCAGATCCGCGCAGCCGTTTTGGCGTGAAAAAGTAACAAACATCTATCGATCTTCACAAACTTTCACAATAATAATATTAGTATGTGGATTTGTGCGCTTCAGTAGCTTGATATGTTGTTTATAATGTAGTTACTTAGGTTAAAATAGTATAGAGAGAGAACCTAAATAAATAGGCGTAGGTACGACAAATGTTATAAAATTACTGTTAAGTCATGCGAATATAGAATTTAGATCTTCATCAGTATAATAGAAGGCCATGTCCATTTATTAAATGACCAATTTTGCTAGTTCAAAACTGACTTGGTTGTATCGGTTATTTAGTGACAATAATTAAACTTGTAAAGACAACGCTCTCTCATTTCTGTAAACAATTAGGTTATAGGTTTTTTCCTAACACTACTTCTAAATTGGCACAAAAAAAATATAAATTGTTCTAAACAGGCAGTGGTAGCTCAGTGGTAACGCGCTCGCTTGGGAAACCGAGGGAAGTGGGTTCAAATCCTAGGTCTCGCACCTCTGATATTTTCATGTGCTAATCATTTCTAACATGATTACCACTTGTCTTACGGTGAAGGAAAACATCGTGAGGAAACCCGCATGTTTGAGAGAACCTAGCAAGTTTCCGAAAGACATGTGAAGTCCGCCAACCCACACTTGACCAGCGTGGTGGACTATGGTCTGATCCCCCCCTCGTATTGAGGGGAGGCGGAGGGAGGTAATAACGAAGATCCAGTTAATATATTATAAACTGATAATGTACAACAAAGTTAATAGTCTGTTTAACTTTCTTAATGCATAATATGTTGGCATGCAAACACTGCTTATACTCTAAGGTACAATCAACTTAGTTCATTACCTGAGATTATCTACATAGCTGATGCATTTTATCAACTTTCCTTATGCATTTCAAAGTTATCTCCATAATATAATGAGAAGACAATGACAACATTAAATATTTAAATATAAGAAAAATAAATACTTTATAAGTTTCATAAAAATCTAGATGAAAATATAAGTAACAATATTAAGTAAATACCTAACTTAAAAATTTATATTTTTTTACATTCTATCTAGGTATACCTACATATAATAAAATTGTAATTGATCGCTGTCTGTACATGGGAGATATTTGAGAAAAACAATTATGGGGGTCTTTATTACCACAATACAACCCAAAACAACGATTTTTTGAATTTTTGACTGTTTGTTTGTGCGTTTGTGCGCGCTAATCTCAGAAACGGCTTAACCGATTTGGGTGCGATTTTCACTAATGTATTGTGGTATGTTTCACTTAACAAGAAGTATTTGTTTTATTTCAATCGGTTCATAAATAAAAAAGTTATGTCAATTTAAAGAATCACCTAAGAACGAACGCGAGCGAAATAAGGGTGAATCGCTAGTCTAAAAGCAATATAATTATTCACAAAATTCTCAAACTTTCTACTAAGCGTTTTGGTAGCTTATTTAACGTACAGAGAATATACAGTATGTCTAAATATCCGAAGTACGTTAGTCGCAAATGAGGCATGTTAACAGAAGGTCTACCACTTGCATAATTTATATACTCGACCCGTCTCACACACGACACACAACATTATAGATTGCATTTTGCCCGTTTTTAACCGCAACATTTTTGCTCGCTTAACATGCGAAATATTTGAGAAGGGTGTTGCCAGAATATTTACGTGCGCATTTTTAATAGGCCGGGTCCAACATGGTGCTATTGAAATAAAATTTTAATCAAGCAACACTATGGTTAATTCCTATTCTATGTAATCTTTAATAATATAAACTTTGAATGTTGTAATTATATTACAAGCTAACAATATAAATATTAGATATCTTATATCTACATCTATGTTTATAATGTAGCGTTAAAAATATAACGAATATAATAAAAGTATAATTTATTAATTATTCAACACGTTTAATTATTGCCAATGACTTTTAAGAAGACGATAAAGAAGTAAAAATTGCAGTGACGATGGTAAAGATATAGACGCTGGAAAAAACCTGCACTTTACTATTGACTTATTAAAATATATCTTGATTTTCAAATATTAATTGTAATTTATTTTGAGATGTAAAACACAGGCAGTGTAACTTGGAAGATAAAAGATGGTTACCGGTTTGCCAAAATGAAAAAAAGTGACAGAGTGTCAGAAATAGGCCAGAAAATGTTTTTGTAGGTCACGTATACTTGTAAAAGTAACAAAGGTTTGCAAATATACGAATAAAGTTCAAAAATGATTAAATTCATAATATTATAATTTTATTTAGAAAATTAAAATGCTTGTTGATGTAGTTTATGTATCCCGATAGCGAGCGTGTGTGCATTGCGACGGCTCTCAAGCCCTGAAGAGCAGCGACACCAAATAGCGGGGAGCGAATTAATAATGAGACAAAGCGGCGTATATTTTACTCGGTTATATAGAAAAATGTGCCTTAAGGGTACGATATAGAATCTTAATTGGTATGACATAGTTTAGGTTTTAGTGCGACAGTGGATGCGCTCGCGGCAGTGCCCCGTCACTGGGGCTCTTTGTTTGAGCTGAAGAGCTGACTCTAATAGCTCGCAGCGGATCCGCGCTTAAAAATGGACTTTTAAATATTTTATGACGAAGGCAACGAGAGCGGATAAAAAGTTGAACATTACCTAGTTCGATAGTGATTATGTTATACTGATCCGGTTATATGAAACTGTTGGTTTCAGCATTCTCACTACGAACCAGAATCGCGTAATGTAACGAAAGTTCATTTATAAAGTCACAGAAAGGAAATCAGCATATTCTTACTGAAAAATTCATTTATGCAAGTTCATATATTTTTATATTAAGAAAGGTGGACTTATTGTAAAATAAAAACTTTTTTTTTAAAATAAAAACTTTTTTACATATAATATATAAGAAGTTATGGAATTTAGATTTATTTCAATTTAAAACCTGTTAGTATACGTATCAATATAGGTACAAGGCTTTCGTAGCTTGCGGCACTTTCTCGAACAGGCCACGTAGAACCATATTTAAGTGATTGTCCTTTTATTAATATGAACAGATATTAAGTCATTAAATAATGATTAAATTATTCATTAATCAGTCATAAGGGAGAACTCTCCTTATAAGTACAGATCTATATAAATAAAAATGAATGTTGCTAAGCGCAAAACTCGAGAACGGCTCGACCAATTCAGCTAATTTGTTTTTCGTATGTTACATAAGATACACGGAAAGTTTTAAATAGAGAGAAAAAATGTATACAGGTAATTTTAATTCAAGTGTCTGTTTCTAATGTCAAAATAACAGTGTCTTACTAAATGCATATGAAATTATATACGGTACAATTTCTGTCTGTCTGTTTGATCCGGATAGTCTCTAAAACGACTGGACTGATTTAAACGGGACTTTCACTGGAAGATAGCTGATGTTATATGGAGTAACATAGGCTACTTCTATTTTAGAAGAAGAATGAGGGTTCCGCTCAAAAAAAATTAAAACGTACCTTGGGACGAACCCGAGCGAAGTGAGGGTAAGTCGCTAGTTTGAAATAAATTCAAACCAAAACAGCGGCAGATCTCTTGCTATACGTCTACGTGAAATATATCTATAGGACAATGATAGCTATTTGGGAGACGATGAGAAGAATTCCTTACGACAGTATTTAGTAAATGGGCGCCTTTGAATAGGAAGCAGCTATTGTCATGTTTACTTCGTTCTTCGAAAATCTGTGTTAACGCTTCTTTATCAATAGTGTATCTAAACCAATATGTAGTAAGATAAGATCACTCTTGTGTCTTATTGGGTCTGCCCATTATGCCTAAGATAGGGAGTTAGATATTGGTACTAGGTCATGAATGTGTTGGTACAGATCTGTCTAAGATAAAATGGACGATTTATGCATAATTAAAGGCTGCTGTCTCAGCTATATAGTTTACAAAGCTTAGCACAGCTCGCACTATTTTGATATCAAGATTGCACATATAAAGGGTTTAGTTTATATTTTTGATAACATCTTATTTCATATATTCTGTTCTTTCATATTTATTAATTACCTAAGGCATACTAAGCTCAAATCAATTCAAATTTTAATTAAATAAATTTTCTATGTCTTCGGTAGTATTATACACAATAATAATTGTGAATAGAATAAAGGTAACTTAAATGAATAATATTGTTACGTGAACGGATCGGGGTAAAGCAATATATAACTTTCATAATATAATTTACAAAATGAATAAATTTACGTTTTCTACAAAAGATGTTAGTTCAAAGCTTTAGACTCCATACATTATCTAGTTTAAAGTTTCCTTTGAACAAAATAAAACGAGACTTGACAGAGCTGCGGGGCGCAAACACACTGTGACTCTATCAAACTTCACCCTAGGCTCATTTAGGCACTGTTTATATTAATGTTGCTGTTTCGAAAAATGTTATATAGCTAATATATATTTTAATTTACTTTGCCCCTTGAGGATATATCATTAATACAGAATTAGCTCAATAAATAAATATGTTAGGACATTAACACACAGCGCCATCTAGTTCCATGATAAGCTACGAGGCTTGTGTTATGGATACCAGATAGTTGATATACTACACATATATAACTTTAAATACATACATATTATAAATATAAACACCCATGACTGGAGTACAAACATTCGTCATCACACAAATGAATGCCCCCAGCGGGACTCGAACCCGCGACCGCTGGCACAGCAAGTAGGGTCACTACAAACGGAGCCAAACGTGTCGTCAACTATAAAAATAATAGAATTATTTAATATAAAATATCCCCTTTGTTCGTTTCCGCTGTAAACTTTACTAGTGATTGCTAAAAGCTTTTTTCTAGTTAGCTTTTTTCTATTTCTTATAAAATAATGAAATGAGTTAGTGGATTTTTTCACTCGATTGTTCATTTATTGAATAGAATGAAGGGTTAACCCTCTGTTGTATGTAAGAAATAAGTACGATTGGTATATCGTGCCTGTGTACTTCTAGAGACATTCTAGGAAACTATCACGTTTATAAGGGATGCGAGTTTCATTAATCAGGCTTTTATTCTACTTTATCGTGAAAAAAATTAATCAACAGAATATATACCAAGAATTTTTTTCCTTTACTTAATAATGTTACTTAAATGCTTTGAAATACAAAATGAAAATAAAAACTTCTATTAAAAAATATGATGTAAATTTTCAGGCTTATAGCTGAAATATTTAGCTTTGTAATATTTAAGTTGGGATGTTTTGTGTGTTATCTAATTTCGAGTTTACTTAGAAGAAGATAAAACGGAGCCTGACTGTGCCACGAGCCGGTTATAAATACTTTCAACTTAGTCTGGCCTTATTTAAACACGGTTACGAGTATTGTTGCAGTATGTAATGTAATGTATGAATATTATCTACTATTGTAGTACTGGTATTGTATGGACAACTTTATATTGAACTAGCGACTCACCCTCGTTTTAACTGTTAGTTAAGATTTCTCAGTGATGAGATATTTTCCCGTAGTGAAAAGCACCTTATATATTGACCCGGATAACCAGCTATTATACCTTTATCAAAATCTGTCCAGTGGGTTTCTCGTGATGCGTTCTCAGACAAACAGACAAAAATTCTAAAAACTATAGATTCGGCATCTGTATTGATAATAACAACTATTTCTAAAGATTTTCCAAAAATATTTAATGCACAGATTGGACTTATTTAGAATTTTATTTTTTATTTTTTGTTGGGGACATTAACACACAGCGCTATCTAGTTCCGTGGTAAGCTACGAGGCTTGTGTTATGGTTACCACTACACATATATAACTTTTAAATACATACATACATTATATTTATAATATGTGTATGTTATTGTATATATAATATGTGATATTATATGTATATATAGAAGATATTCTGTATTTAACTTGCACATTTGTGTTAACATCAACAATAATAATATACATTTACATAGAAATAAAAAGTAAGATAAGATTTATTTCATTGACCTTATGATCAAGAAAATTACCATTTCAACAGAAATCGATGTTTTAATCTGCCGACATTAGTTTACCGGCGCGCGGCGCAGCATTATTTGAATTGATTTCACTACTTAGGGTATGAGTTGGAGATATAACTGAGTTGTTATTTTTTATTGGGACATCGAAAGATATTTTATACTATAGGTACATTTGATATTTAAATGATATTCTTTTAAATATTACATAATTATCCAGGAATATATATATATATATATATATATATATATATATATATATATATATATCATTGTATTTTTTATTATAAATTAATCCCTCCACGACCGCGGACACGCCGGCGTCATAGTTAACAATAGATTTCTTAGAAATTTACATAGAGGTGCTATAATTAGCAAAGAAATGAAATAAATAATATAATTTACCTCTCGTGCCTGTAAAATTCCAGTCACTGTCATGTGTGTGTGTGCTGCGCGCGAAGGGCGCGCGTCTCGAACGGTTGCCGACGGCACGCCCCCGACCTTCTGATGCTAGAAAAAAAACTATACATGTATATAAAAATGTTCCCTATGGAATCCAAATGGATGAGGCGATTTTGATGAAATTTTCAGGCAATCTTCAGGTGAGCCCAGCGGGTGATCCCGTGAAGTTTGATGGCGATCAGAAGTTTCAACGCAGGCGAAGCCGCGGATAATGCTAGTTATTAATAAAACTCTAACCATTATAGTGTGATTTTATTTATAAATATAATTTATTATATTGTTGAACTTATAAAGAATTTGCGTTCTTCTAGAAATTGTTGCTACCTATATGAAATTATTTATATACTTTCCTTTACGAGGATTTAGTGCTTATTGAGATATTTTATTAATAGGTATATTGTGTACTTGGCTTTGTATATATTTGCTTTGAAATAATCTTTCGCTTTTACTTGACTCTATAATATTATAAAATGTGACAAAGCAACAATGTTCTCTTTAGAGAATGCTCGTTTGTAAGCGGTAGGAATGTGCCATGAGAAGATGGTACATTCAATGGGAGTAGATACATACAAATAATATCGTATGCCTTTATCAATGGAAACATATTTGGTAAATAACCAAATAAAGAATGAATTGTTACAAAGTACAAGATGAATAGATATTTTATAAGCTAGATTTTGTATTTTTTTTTGGTAATACCAGGATTATAACTAATCTATTCGTCAAATCATATTTATTATTACTTTAGGATTTCATATGCTTCAATTATTTATTCAAAAGTCTTACCGTCGATTATATATTCTGTAATTCCATACGCCTGATCTCGCGTATTACTTGCAAAACATTGATACACGCCTTGGTCGTTTTGTTGTGAATTTTTGATATGTAGTTTTAGGCCATCGTCTGATATTCGGATCCTTTCCGTATCCTTCACGACTTTACCATCATGTATCCAATATACTACTTCTATGGGATGACCGGACACCTTACAGTCGAAACTCACATCTGCGTTGAATTTTGTTCGTAACATTTCTGGTTTCATACGGACGGATATTGGTTCTGTAAAAGAGGGCACGTTTTAATTTGGAAAAAAATATTTTCTTTCAATAATAATTTCAGTTTCTATATTATTTTTTATTTCACACAAATTAAAATGGCAGAAAATTATAATAGAGCTATGTTCAATAAACTATAAATTATTATGGCTTTTATAAGTTACTTTTAATCTAACTATGTAAAATTGTAAATTATTTACTAAAAAACCGTAACTATAGATGCATATAAATTACAGAAATAATGCTTTTGTATTCATTCATTCTACATCTGTAAACATTTTATATGTGCTATTCATGTCATGCAGTAAGGCTCGGTATGTGCGTCGAATATGACAGAAAAATACGTTTCGCACGCACGAATAACTCCATAACTCTCTGTTATAAAAAAAACACAGGTATAGCTATACCTCGGCAAAAGCTGATACTTTAAAGCTATTGAACGTATGCGAATATTATGTTTACTTTGCATAAAGAATGATTTTTGTATACGGCTGATTATTTTTAATTATAATTTATTGTAAAATGTTGAATATAGAAACGGAGATACCGTGCTCAATCTCATATTCAACCGCAGAAACAATGTTTGTGATATTCATAAGTTATAAAAGGTTCAATGTATGTATAGTATAAGTGTGTATTTTATGTGTAGTATCTGGGCCACCCGTTCAAAAGTACAATGTTCTTTTAAAAAAAAAAAACTAAAAACTTGAATAGATAAAAAAAACAAAAATAAATTATACCTTCGTATCCGAGTATCCGACCGCGATTCGAACCCGGACACCTACGATTGTCAATCTTGCCTTGGCCGCTGGACTATGATGCTTTTGCACGAGCGTGCGCAATTATCGACCATATTTTGCGCGGAATAATGCGTAAGAAAACCGCATGAAAATTCGAAAACACGCGTTTTCCCAGACATAAGACTAATCTAGATCGATTTATCACTCCCGAAACCCCATGTATACTAAATTTCATGAAAATTGTTGGCGCCATTTCCGAGATTTAGATTATATATATAAATATATATACAAGATTTGCTCGTTTAAAGATATAAGATTATATTGTGTGTTATTATTTGTGGTAGGAGTGGTTACTGCATGGTTGATGCCATGGTGAGAAAATAAAATAGTATTAGGTACTACTTTATTGCACAGCTATTTTAATATTTAACGGTTTTTAGATTATAAAATAAGCTAAAATACTTCTTAGCATCAAAATATTTGCACAATATAAATAATACAATTACTTAAACTAATTCAATATTACCTGTAACAATGATAGTGAAATGAGCTGACTCGCCGCCGGCAGTATTATTGAGCCAGCAGATAAACCTGCCCGCGTCTTCCCGCTGCAGCCTTTGTATACTGAGCAGGCCGCCGAGCACCGACGCCCGCGGCCACAGCGACGTCTTTTCTATTGGTACGAGTTGTTCGTGGTGTTCACGAAACCATCTATGGAAAGAAGAAAATTTTGAAAGACATATTTTAAAAGTAGCGAATTATATTTGCTTCAATTCTGTGCGTCTCAAGATGCCTAACATTAGAGTAGATCATAGTCTATCTATGTACATCCAAACCTATTCGTTCCATCCAGCCTTTTCAGCGTCAAGGAGAAACAAAGATATACAAATTTTCGTATTTATAAGTAGGCTTTTCCCACGGTTTCGCACACGTTGTGCAATTATTTATCTTTAAATATCTTTAAAAATTATAGCCTACGTAAATTACTGTAAAGTCTCATCAACATTCTTCCATCCTCACATGCATTCGCGTATATAATACTAACGACTCACCCTCGCTTCGCTTCAGGTTCGTCCATAGACAAAAACAACTCTATCCCACGGGAACCATACATTTTTCGGGATAAAAAACCTATGTATATCGAGACTATAATCTATCTCTGTGCCAAATTTCATCCAGATCCGTTCAGTTGTTCTGGCGTGAAAGAGTAACAAACATCCATTTATCCATCCTCACAAATTTTCAGATTTATAATATTATAATTGGATACGGATTTGTAAGATAGGGTTACAATATTAATACAGTAGTGTCCATGAACATTTACTTTTAAAATATTTATAAAGCACTATGAGATCTTATATGACGCCATTTCGTGTTTCTTTCATGGATTCTAATTGTAATACATTGTTTTAAAATCTTTTAAAATTAAATATTTACGGATTATTTCGCGAATTTATTTTTATTTGTGGTTTTATATAGTTGTTACAGACAGCCTACCCACAAATAACAAAATAAATTCAAAAAATTGAAAAATGGCACCAAAGTGCGTTACAATATTTGGTTCTTTTAATTATTATTTTCTTTAATATTTTTTAAAATTTGTAGTGGCTTGGGCTATCTTGGCTATGTATAACTACATTCGCTTTAATTATCCATAAATACTCGCGAAAGAGAACCGTTATCGCCCCAGGATGATTCGATGACTTCAAATAATAGCAATCTAAATTAATATTTTAATTACTTTTAATTTACATATAAAACAATAGAATTGCTTAAATAAATAATTAATATTTTTTAATTTTTTAATATTCTTTATGGTTATAAATAAGATAATAATAGCAGCACTAAATAATATTAGTAAATAATAATAAAAATTAAAAATTAGTTTTTTTCATTATAATATTTATTAATGTTTTTAAAGATGTTTAAAAATAAAAATCAAAAAATATTGTAAAGTACTTTGGTACTATTTTTGAATTTTTGAAATTATTTTTGTAAAATAGTGGATAGGCATTGTCTGTAACAACTTAACAAGTATATAACGCCTTTGAGACGTCTATACTCTAAAACTTTAGTCTCTTCCGTGACCATGATTGCTGTAAAGCATTCGAAACATCGGGAACCAAAAATCAAAATAAATCCGCGAAATTATCCGAAAAGATAGTTTTAATTAAAATGTCAAATACTTATTCGCGTATATCCAAGAAAGTATAATGTAATAATACATTGTTGTTAATATAAGTTAACAATATTATCCTGTAGAAAAGACTGAATCTGTGTAATGTTAATTCAATTTGAAGATAATAACCATAATGTCAACTTGGTTCTAATTTCATAAGCGTACAGTAGTTGTAGAGCTGCAAATATAACAAACACTCAGTATGCAGTTCAACCGGATTCGTTGTAATTGCATAGCGCAATAATATCACAAGGAAACTATTTTACCTAAAACAAATTACAGAAACCGAGATTTTAATTATAAGCCAACGTAATTATTGAGCAATCCGCTCAATAATCAATGTGAACAATTGAACATCTTTGTATTTCAAAAAGTCCCTAATGCATAAAAGTAGTATAAAAGCATTTACGCGTAAATCTATACATATAATAAAATTGTAACTAAGCTGGATTTGTATATTAGATATTTTTTTGAAAATTTTCTTGAAATAAACATTATTATCGATACAGAGGCCGAATCTTTAGTTTTTATAATTTTTGTCTTTCTGTCTGTCAGTCTATTACCGCATCACAGAAAAACCACTGGAGGGGTTTTGATGAAATTAGGTATAGTGATAGCTGTTTATCCGGGTCCACGTATAGGATTTACTTTTTATCTCGGGAAAATATCTCATTTCTAAGAAAAAATACAAAAACTGCATTGTAAGAGTATACTAATATGTAAAGCCTAAGAATTTGGTTTTTGGTCATCTGAACGCGGGCGGAGCCGCGGGCAATGCTAGTCAATAATATATTTCATACATTAAAACATATATATATGTCGAAAAAATTTCAAGGAGAATCTTTAAGAATAATTTTAAAATTATGATACGCCTCATTTAAATGTAGAACAACTTGCCGTTAAGAAAGAAATAAAACGAAAATAAGAATAATTATTAAAAACCATAATATCAATCTTTTTCTAACATCTATTTCTGTTACTATCTGTTATATAATTAAGTAAAGCAACCATGTTATAGCACTATATAGTTTTTTCTCATCTCAAGATGCTGGAAGCAAATGTCGTCTAATATCCTGTGGAATTTCTCCAAATGGCTCCGTTGCTGGGAATCTTCAATGTTCACAAGTTAGCTTCCTTTTAAGAAATAGTTTTGAAAAGAGTCGAAATGCAGGAGACATTTGCATTCTAAAAGGCTTCCGACTGTGGTTTGAAAGAAAAGTTATGGCAGTGGCAGCCCGAGTCAAGCATAATTTTTGAATTTGCGAAATGTTAACTCATCTGTCCGTTCATAAGAACTATTGAAGAGAAAATGTAATTGAAGACTGGTAATATATTTTTCACTTTAAAATCATATTTTTTGTGGGTAAATATATATGTTAAGCCTACATTTTCGAAACACACTCATAAAGTAGTACTTCTATTTCCAGTTTAGAATTGTTAATGGCCAAACTTTACATGTTTTTATTTATCTTGCGTACAAATATGAGATAAAACGGACTTGTATACGTATATTCACTATATTTGAGTTGCCAACTTCGATCAATGTAGTGTGCCTAAACAAATATCCAATTGAACTTATGTGTATGTTGAGATCCTAACGTACATATTTAATGTTTAGCGTAAAACAAATGAGGGTGTAATTAGTGAAAGGTATTAGAATAAAACGTCGACTAGTATATCTTTAAAATTATTCAATTAAGTATTTTTTTGTTTACTTATTATATTCCTTTGCCTATTGATTGTTATTATACTTAGTCTATTCTATCTAAATTTTATCACCACAGAGAATCGTCATAGGGAAATTCATATATTTTTTTCTTTGCTAATTATTCGTAGTGTTCTTTCAATCTAAAGCAAATTATAGATAAAAACTAAGCCATTATAAGTTTTTGCAGGCGAGTTAAAATAATCCCGGTCAAAGAGAGCTCGTTTGGTTTCCGACTCAGTACTTATTGTTTGAAGTTTAAAGGAAAATTTCGCACAAAATTACTTTTACTGCACTAAAAAGTTATCTTTTGCGTCAAAGTAAATGTTCACTTTTATAAAAACTAACTGCGATGGACTAGATAACTGAAATAAATTATTCTGAAGAATAAATACCGTGGCCTTTTATGCAGAATGATATGTAATTACTTTGTAATTATTTTTATATTGTTTGTTGTATATTTTATATTTTGTGTACATATTGTCTGATTAGAAGACATTGTGTCTTGTGGTGCAGGGAATTTATATCTGACTCGCACTACTGACTGTTTATCGACCAGTTGAAATAAATAAAATGTATGGAAGAATAGAAGAATGTGCTATATACTTTCATTCATTTTTGCTTCTCCAACGGCCGGTGGCATGCCGGTTTGTGTAGAAAAAGCCATTGTCCCGTATGTACGAAATTTTATTGTTGTTTGGAATAATTATATATATTAAAGTAGCACTAAAATAACGGTCTAAGACGAAATTGATAGATAATGAAAACTTAGAAAAAATTTACGTCTAAAAAAACACTAAAAAGTAAAAAATAACTGTTTGGTAGTTTTCTTATGCTATAGATACCTAGTCAGATTGTATAATAAGAAGTGAGTTGTCATGGTAATTTTATTACATATCTATATACGCTTATTTAATTATATTCAAATCATAAAAACTATTTGAAAATCAATTCAATTATCTTTTATCTGTGTAGATGGTTCAGTTAAATGTAACTACATAACATACTCGTTCGTTCACTCTTTACACTCTGCATTACGCTGCAATGCCATCAGTTAATACATCGTTCGAAATACCGTGGTAAGTACTAAGGTTTCATTACGCGAATGTACTCGAAGATGTCTTCTATTTTTAACGAGATCCCTATTACTTGATATTTCATTTTCCACACATGTACAGTTCCATGAATTTCAGGAATTAATGCAATAAATTATTTATAATGTTTATATTTTATGAACAGCTAGGTGTGTTTGTGATAAAAAAGTAATAGTCAGTGTACCTACCTTAGGTCTTTAGGATATAGAAACATGTCCTTAAAAGACCTACAACTACAGAAAAGAACTACAGAAAATGGTTCTGACTGGTTCATTCTATTCTAGTACATTTTTTTATGTATCTCTTAGCGTTAGCCATGTAAGCGTGAAAACAGTTTTTTGGCAAAACTCCGTCTAATTCAGCCATATTGTACGAAATATTTACAATTTATATATAGAGACCTTCTTCGCTTATCATTCTTTGATTTCATTGGTGTAAACCATATCAAAATCTGTTGCGTGGTTTAGAAGAAGTAAGCACATAATCAGACAGAGGTAGATAGCGATTTTGTACCGAATTGGGTAAACTAGTTATTGTGTTTTCCATTGAGAAAGAGAGATTTTCCTGTAGATAAGGTATCCTAAATATTGGCTAGAGTAATAAGTTATTACTACACAAAATTTTGTTTAAATACGTTCAGTACGTTTTGTGTAAGATACACATAGATGTACAGACCAACATACAAAAATTTCAATAACAAGTATTTTAAGGTTTATATTCTTTACGCTACATGTAACAGTCATTGTTTTAAAAATATTTTATTTACAGATTTCGTTTTGTTCTATTCGTTTATTATCTCGATACAAACTCTACGTAATTTTGAAATTTATTTTAAATTAAAAGCATTATCAGCCTAATCTCCTGGATCTAAGCATCTTGTCTTTTGTAAAAATATTATTAACTAGCATTGCCCGCGGCTCCGCCCGTTCAGATGACCAAAAACCAAATTCTTACGTTTTACATATTAGTCTACTCTTAAATTGCAGTTTTTGTATTTTTTCTCAGAAATAAGATATTTTCCCGAGGTAAAAAGTATCCTATATGTTGACCCGGATAACCAGCTATCATCATACTAAATTTCATCAAAATCCCTCTAGTAGTTTTTCTGTGATGCGGTAACAGACAGACAGACAGACAAAAATTCTAAAAACTATAGATTCGGCCTATGTATCGATAATAATGTCTTTTTCAATAAGATTTTCCAAAAAATATTTTATGTACAGATTTGGCTTGATTACAATTTTATTATATGTATAGAAGAAAGAAAATAGTTAATTTGGCAGCGAAAAGACGATGATTGTACATTTTTTGTTTGTTGACTGATTTTAATTAAACTGTTTTTCTAAAATATGTCAAGTAATCAAGTAATATCCTCTTAAAACCGTTATATTTATGAAAGGTGTATAGCGGGTAAGGGTAAATTGGCTTCTTGGCTGTTAAACCGAATAACATCGCATGGGATTACGAAATTGCGTTTATGCCCACCGTGAATCAAATCAGAGGGTGATGAAATAAAAAGTGGCTTAATGCGGTGGAAATGAATTTAGGGTGAAGTGTGTGAGTGTTTTGGTGTTTAATGTAGTCGTGCCTTCCATACATACTAGTACTGTATCAGTAGTAGTAGTAGTGTTGGAAATTAGCCATTTTATCGAAATATTGTATAACAAAAAAAAACCTTGTTCAGTAAATGAAGGAAAAGATTTTAATTTAATTTCATTGGTATTCAAAATTATTATAGGAATCGAACGCAACCGAGAGCCAACAAATATTTAAGAATATTATACAAAACAATTAACCCAGTTTGCTTCCATAACACATTATATATATGTATTCAATAGGCATTAACTCTATGACGCCCTTATTGTATTCAATATAAAAGTATATACTTATAATATTTTAAATATGCTTTTAATATGTAAGCCAGAAAATTGTAAAACTTTTCGTAATCATCCTTTTATATCGGATAATTGGATCATTTTATGATTATGTGGTGATTCAGTGTGAAAGCCATAACATATTTTAATTAAGGGTAAATCTTTAGTACAGTGCTTTTAGATTATATCCATTAATCTGTTAATATTGCTATAGATTCTATTATATATGCTTTAAATTAAGAGCATTTAAAATGAATTTAATAAATAGGTCAAGTCAAAATAAATCTTTACACTTTGATTTTTTTTATATGTTGTGTTATGTTTTTCAATGTTTTCCTTAATATTAATTTTTCATAATAATTCGGTAATGTCATCACAAACTCACAAACTTTACCTCTTTGTAATATTAGTATAGATATCAGAACTATTATGTCAGCTCGTTAGTAATGTTTGAAAAATAAAGATAAACTTTTAGCTTTACGCAGTGAAATCTATTGTTTATTGTATTTGACCTCTGCTATAAATAAAAGGAATCTTAATTTTTCACAATAATTCGGTAATAATTGCCCAAATTATTTAAATGTATTATGTAGTCGAATCAAAGAAAAGTACCTACTGTGATCCATTTTATTATTTTATTTTAAGATAATTAAAGAAACTGGAAATCCTTAGCGAGAAAAGTATTTCTGACGATAGTAAAAGGATAACAAAACTAGACGCGGGAAAAGCAATAGTATATTAGTATAGATTTAACGTACAACGGACCAAATGCGAGTCTTAGTGCGGAAAACGAGTCCAATATACAATAGCTTTTCCCGCATTAAAGATGTATGGCATTGTCTCTATATTAAAGTAAGTAATAACAATAATTAATATCATATTTGAACATATGTTTTAACGATTATTTTCAATTAATAATAATATTATGTAGCTCAAGAGATTGTACTTTATGGTTGTTTGAACACGTTAATCTTTGGAACTATAATTCACATTTGACAATTCTTAATCTTTTAGTTACTACAGTTAGATTTAGTTACAGTATGTTTATCTATTTGTTATATAAACCTTGCCTGTAGTTACAAATACGCAATAACTCTTGTTGGCAATTGGTACCTATTCGGTATTGTACAAATAAGTATTTATTTGGCAATGACAAACAGAAACTACATTTTTAGAGTCGCAGCTGTTCATTCCATGAACAATTTATTCCACTAAATTGTTATCAACTGGACATTCGGTATTCATTCACAGCACTCAGCTGCTTTCATTGCAAATGAAATAAAAATTAAATATAGTTTTGTTAATTTCTGTACGTATTAATGTGATGTGTGTATGATAAAGAATTAGTTACATCCTTCCGTTTTTACTGGGTAGTACTAGATTTTCTAGCTTGTGAGTCCCACATAACCACCTGTATGTATGTAGGTAAGCTTAAATGCATTTCTTAATGTTAAAAAAATAGTTAATTACATATTTAAAATAATTTGTTTATGTATCAGTTTATAATTTACAGTGAGATAAACATTTTGGTGTATATTATATTTGTACCTGTAACTGGGCACAGGCCAGGCGTGCGCGGCGCACGGCAGCCGCACATCTCGTCCCACTGAAACTCTTCTAGAGCGTGACTCAACCGCTATACGCGGTCGCACTCCACCTTTTGGTTCTGTTACTATTACATGACCTTCAAACAAAAAAAAAACATTATGTTTTAAAATGACAAAGTCGTTATGATAATTAAATTGAATCCAAAATTTCAAAATCCTTCACTTTAAGTTAGAATTTTCCTCAAATTAAGGAAACTAATATCGTTAAAATATCAGTGTATCCACAAAATATCAATAAAACCTTTAAACTATCATTGATGATGACTTACCAAAATATTGACTAGAATATGAAGATCTTGTAACGCGGTCACGGACCCGACACCGGAACGCCGTGTACCGGTCGCCCGCGCTCACCGAGCTTATGTATAGAGACCCGTCGTCCAGACGGGAGTATTTTGAACCTTTGAAACAATAGCAGAATATAAGGCTATTGTTTAGTTCAAGCTTTTACTACGAATGAAAGGAATCTTAATTTATCGGACCTTCATAAGTCTATAGTTGAAACAGTGAGTTACGTTTCTGTAAATATATGATTTAATTAAAAGGCTTGTTCTACTGATAATTCTCATTAATTCTTTAATATGGTAGGCACAATTTATTTGCTCTTTTAAACGATTTAATTAACATTGTTGAATTAACAAATAACTTTTCAAATTCTATGAATTAATTAATTGTATCTGGAAACATAAATGTTTACAAGAATATTTATAAATACTTTTTAATAATGGATGTTCTTGGTATTATAAAAATAACTTGAACGTTCAACTCGTATAACACGTGACTATAATATCAAAAATATATAAAAAAACTATTATAAAAATAGTTTATCTGTAATTTTTTATTTAAAGATATTGGCCGAACTATGATTTCTTCTTTTCTCGAAGTGGGTTAAAAATACAAGTATTTTGATAATATATATGTTAGTTTTAATGAGTTAGTTCCTGCGTAAGTCCATCTGTGTTGGGAAATAAAAAAGCAATATATTTAATGAAAGCTATACGACAGAATGCTCAATGTCCATGTCGTGGTAATTAATTCACTTTTATGGTCCCTACCTAACCAACCATTGATGATTTTCTTTACGTTTAGTATTTTCATTTTATAACAACTTTTTCAATTTACTTGATATTGGACACACTATTATATTTTCTTAAAATAATATATTTTGAGTTTATAAAGAATATTTTGTATCTTTCATTAAAACTAATTTTATGAAATACGCAACGTAAAGATGCATAATATGAAACTTTTTCGCAAAATTAGCGTCGGCTAACTAAATCTACCTTGAGCCAACTGACCCTATTTGTTAGTTATGGGGTCACCTAACGATCTGTTTCCGTTATGTTGGTTTGGATAAAATAGGCTCAGACAGACAGACTCAGAGTGATTCTATAAATATTTTTAGTTGCGGTAGGGCTAATAAATTTAATTATTTTCTAAGTGCATACCTAAATATTGGAACACGCTGGTGTCATCGACTGTGAACCAGTCGGTGTCATCGACGCGGTCCGTGCAGTGCGCAGGCACGACGCACCGCAAGACGGCGGCGTTCCCCGCCATCACGTACTCGTCTGGTACATGCACCTCCCATGGTATATTTAGCACTGTCAAAAAATATTAAACAATTTTTTTATCCTCTATCTCTCTCCTAACAGTAGTAGTATGTATTACTTCAGAGTTCAGATCATAGTCTATTCGTATACTAAGTATATTTCATACAAAATCGTCCAGTAGTTTCGACGAGAAGCAGTAACAAATATACAAACATACATACAACTTTCGCGTCCGTTACTTTACATGGTTGTACAATAACTTTATGCTATATATTTTTTTTCTGTATTCGTTACACATAAAAATATGACGGAAACATGATGATTAATCTCTTTCATTTAATAACTTTTGAAAAACTTATCAGAAACTGGTAAACATATGTAATTAAAAAATATTTAATTTAAAAAAAGGACTTATCACGCACTGAAAATTGTCCTAGTTATATACATCGTAGGTAGCTATTAGTAAGTTTATAACAAATGATCAATTCAAAAAGTGTGGAGCGTTTTTTGGTGGTGCTAAGCCCAGAAAATTTTTTACACTTTAAATAACCAATATACCAAATTATAGTACTGTCATCAGAAGTACATAACATACATATTATAAAATTTCATTTTGAAACGACAATTAGAAGTAACCTAACTTACTGATTTCCAAGATTTGTTTACATTGTGTAGGATCCCTAATAAAACTTCGAGATATTCCTTGTTTATACTCTTATGTTCAGTACTTTTACAATCGTCAGTGAGTTACAAATTTATAACCAATTTTCAGTATTACCAACAATTCGTGACTAGTAACTACATCTTTTACCGGTATTTTTTCCGGTTATTTTTTTAACCGGTATTCTATTACCGGTACTGATATCTTCTTGCAAAAGCGCAGGAAAACAAATGAGTATCCGCGCCCCTTTTTTAAATTTTTTTAAAACACATTCCCATCGGCCAAGGTCACATAACTAAATGCCATATACACAAATCATTACAAATTAATCAAATATATTATTTTCTATTAAAACGCTCAATATATAAAATGCAACCTTACAATTGTAAAAGTGCTATTAAAAATACTTGTAATCCAATAAAAACTTAAAAAAAAAACCGACTTCCAGGCACTAACATGTAAAAAATAACTAAATGGGGTTTTTCATTTAGAATAGACGCGACGCATAGGAAGTCTAATATATTTTGATACGTAAAATACATATTTACCTATTAGATATTCATATCTTAAAATATTGTCCGCTTCTACCTCCTCGTTTTTGGAAGTCGGTTAAAATTTGCTGCGTTATCTTTATTAATATTTTATAAACTTATGAAAGTCATGCTTTCGTTTCGTTCTAGGCATATCCCGTAGGATAAGTACAAAGTTATTGTAATACAAGAATATTGTAAGTAAATATTATTTTAAAAAAGCAAATTTTGAGTTTCTCTCTGATTCTTATAGATATCTGGTAGCTTCTTCACGGATTTCCAATACTGATATTGAACTTATTGTAAATATTGACGATCCAAAAGTTCTCGTGAAAGTCAATTTGAGTTGATTATTCTACTATATTAAATTTTAATTAATTTAAGTTAGATTCTTCCACGACATACCATTCAAAATGTCTTATTTTGCGGAAATGCTGATAGGTACCTGCGCAAAGTGATTGTTCATTTCACTGAGCTATTGCAACTTTAGTTCTGGGTTTTAAAATTAAATTCTTGCTTGGTAAAAATTAAGTAAGCCACGTATTCCGAGTTTGGGAATAAGGCCTACCAAAATATAGCAAAGTTAAAAAGCAATCAGAAAGTAGAGTATAGTTTGAAAAACGTTGCACATCGTTCTTAGTATGTCTTTTTATACGAAAAAACGAGCGAAAAAAATCGTAGTGGTTCAAAATATAGCAGGTATTATAAGTTAAAATTAAAATTATTATTTAAAAACTACATACATATATGTTTAGCATTTATGTACATATGCATGTTTATGTATATATTTAATGGCTATATACTAGCGAGTGCGACTCACTCCGCTTCGCTCGGGTTTGTCCCTAAGTACGTTTTAACGGTTAGTATGAAATACAAATTATTAGATTTCACGGCTTTTCTGTACTTTAATATGCATGTATTATACTATGATATATATATAAACCTTCCTCTTGAATCACTCTATCTATTGCTGAAAACTGCATTAAAATCCGTCAAGTAGTTTAAAAGATCTAATCGAACAGACAGCGGAAGCGACTTCATTTTATACTATGTAAAGAAGATACGCATACTTGTATTTATCTATTTATGCATATATAATATGTATGTCATTAAAACATATATATGTCTTGTATATTTTACTGTACTTATATACTTTATAATTTTTTCTGCACTTTCTCTTTCTGTCCCGCTATTTAACACTTTTTCCCACATATATGGATTGATTGGAAGAGATCTCTTGTAGAGATAAGTCCACCTTTGTCCACGTCATTTTCTGTGTATTTTTTTTGGAACTTATTTGTACAATAAAAAATATATATACATATATAACTCGCTACAGATACTTCTCTACTTCAGTTTTGAAAAAACCTAACATCCCATGTATACACATATAATACTTATATACGTGAGATACTTATATATTTATTACAGTATGTAAGAGATAATCTATCCATATTCAAGAGTTTCAAACATACAAACTATTATGGCATATTTAATATTAATATCATAATGACATGTAATTACCTGCATGTAGGTGTATGTTCTTAGATAGGATAGCAAACCCGGAGCTCAACCGGAGCCTGCAGCGGTACGTGGCCGCGTGTACGTCTCGCCGGTAGCGCTCCGACGAGAAGGGCGGGAATTCCAAGGAGCCGTTTAGGAGCACCCTGCGAAGCCCTGCCAGTGACGTCACGGGACTATTATCCGTGAGTAACCACTCCAACTGTAACAAATTAATTACTGTAATGAACTATAAAACGTTAGCTAACTAACTAATCCTTGCTTCGCTTGCCTCTGTACACCGTTTGTATACCTAAATATTACCAATATTTAGGTAGCACGACCTTTTAGCAAATTTTATAAGAGCCTATATGTTACTCCAGGTCACAGAGTGTCCCCCCAACGTGCGTTCACCTTGTCGTGGTGGGGGGGCTCAGTAGTGCCCGGCAATCCAACCGGGCGCGAAGCTAAGAAACGCACAGGGTGGTTGCCCACTTCGGTGGGCGGTGGGAGGTGGCCCTCTTCGGGGGGCGGTGTACCTTGCGGGTTGCTCCTGGTACTTCTCTGATAGCAGAGTGGACTGTGGAGCAACCCCATGGTTGTGGTGGTCTGCTTCGGCAGACCTGCCGTCGGGGCGTCGTAGTTGAATGCGTAAGCGATCCTGCGACGCCCCATTAAGACGGGGGAAGGTTTTGTTGGGTTTTAGTGGGTAGTACTGGCTGTATTACGCCGGTGAGTCCCACACGTCGTGCGTAAATGCATTTCCCAACGTTAAAAAAAAAAAAAAAAAGGTCACAGAGTGTCCCCCCCCAACGTGCGTTCACCTTGTCGTGGTGGAGGGGCTCAGTAGTGTACTCGCGAAGCCAAGAAACGCACAGGGAGGTGGCCCGCTTCGGTGGGCGGTGGGAGGCGGCCTTCTTCAGAGGGCGGTGTACCATGCGGGTTGCTCCTGGTACTTCTCTGATAGCAGAGTGGACCGTGGAGCAACCCCATGGTTGTTGTGGTCTGCTTCGGCAGACCTGCCGTCGGGGCGGCGTAGTTGAATGCGTAAGCGATCCTGCGACGCCCCATTAAGACGGGGGAAGGTTTTGTTGGGTTTTAGTGGGTAGTACTGGCTTCGCCGGTGAGTCCCACACTTCGTGCGTAAATGCATTTCCCAACGTTAAAAAAAAAAAGGTCACAGAGTGTCTGACGACACGTTTGGCTCAGTTTGTAGTGTACCATATTTGCTGTGCCAGCGGTCGCGGGTTCGAGTCCCGCTGGGGGCATTCATTTGTGTGAGGAGCACGAATGTTCGTACTCCAGTCATGGGTGTTTATATTTATAATATGCATGTATTTAAAGTTATATATTATAGTTATATATTTGTAGTGTATCAAATATCTGGTATCCATGACACAAGCCTCGTAGATTACCATGGAATTAGATGGTGCCGTGTGCTAATGTCCTTGACAAAAAAAATAGATTATGTAATGAAAACTTATAGCAAATCCATTAAAAAATTTAATCTCATTAAAAATTTACATCTACCTCGTTTGTTCTCAATAAGAAGAATTAAAAGTTAATAAGAAGAGAGATAAGAGTTAAAAGTAATAAAAAAAGTGAGAACTTATAATATTTTAACAAAATAAATGTTCTTTAATTATTATTTTATTCAGGTGCTTGTTCAAGGCGAACAAAATTGGAAAAACTTTTTGATTCGTTCAGAGTTTCACGACAGTCGAGTCTATACGCTACAACACGTAATTTATAATCCTTGTGGGAACATTCAGAAACGTAATAATCCACAAAATTTTATTCCCGCGTGCCTTTTTTCCAACCAACTTACACGAGCATTTATTTAAAAATGAATTTACATATTTACTTATTTGCATTGTATAAAAATGTAGATTCAGTAAATGTCTAATCTGTTTTCCAATACTTTTATAACGTGGAATATTTATGTAGGCAGGTGCCAAAGCTTTTTTTAAAATTTTGTAGCTTCTGATGTATTGAAGTTGGAAGCTAAGTATTTTATATAATATTTTCTTAATTTAGACAGATAAGTACACGGGAGATATACTACAGGAGTCTGTGATAGATAGATTTATGTGCTTTCCGAGGTATTGAAGTGACACGTAGTTAACTTCTCATCTTTGGGCTATTAGTGGTGACAAGTAAATTCAATAATTATAATGTTTGTGCCAACTCTAATTCTTATGATCTGTGGTCGTGTGAGATACCTATTATAGCAAAAAAGGGGTTGTAATGGTATCAGGTCGAAGGTTTAAGGACTCTTTAATTTAGGACTTGGTCCCGTCTAATGACCAAAAACAAGATATACAAGAAATGTATTGATGTATGTTTAATACAAATATTTTATTAGTTGCTTTTTTAAAAACATTTAATAAAAACTTAAATTAAATAACGATTAAGTAATTCATTATATTATTTAATTCATTATACACAACAAATAATGTTAATGGTAATAATAAAGATTTTAAATTTGTATAATCATTTTTAGCACCTTTTTTGTTTGTGAGTTAGTGAGTGAGTGAGATCGGTGTGTTTATTTTCTAAGCCGAAGCCCAATGGATTAGACTGAAATGCACATGACATAAAATAAATAAATATCTCATTAATTAATTTATTTCAATGGTAACATTATATTATTAGACCAGTGAGGATCGCACAGAATTCATGACTTAAAACTGTGTGCGATAGTTTGCGGCGTTGTCCATATATTTGCATTTTTCCGCACCATTTGCATTTGCAGGCTGGCAGATGCAAAGCTGATATACCATTTTAATCTATTTATATTTTAACCATTTAAGAATTTTATATTTCATAATATACACAATGATTACAATGGGTTTTAAGTTATTAACAATAATCGTATATTTATAGCTACACGTTTCGCTGAATAATAATGATTTTGTAGGTATATTTTTTATTTGGTATTTATTTTATATAAAAAAGAAACAAATATAGAAGCTTATACATAATACTTTTTAGAAAAAAAGAATTTGAAGCAAAACTTGTAAGTTATATACGATAAATTATAACTTTTGCTTCAAATTAACATAAAAGCTTTATTCATAGCACGTCTCTACAAAGGCCAATGCGGGTTTCTTCAATTAATTTACGGATATTTTTAAATGCTTTACTTTAACAATTTTACATATTTTGGATTAATGTAATAATTTTTATGTGTAAATTCTGTATTATATTACTCGAGTGTATTATATTTAATAATAACACACTAACGATATTAGGTTTTAGCTTTTAAAAATAAAGATATAATTTCAAAAATAAACATCTATACATATAATAAAATTATAACTAAGCCGAATGTCTACATGAAATATTTTTTGGAAAGTCTTATTGAAATAAACATTATTATCGATACAGAGGCCGAATCTATATTTTTTAGTTTTTTTGTCTGTCTGTATGTTTATCTGTCTATCTGTATGTTACCGCATTGCAAAAAAAACACTGGAGGGATTTTGATGAAATTTGGTATGGTAATAGCTGGTTATCCGGGTCAACATATAGGATACTTTTTACCGCGAAAAAATGTCTTATTTCTCAGAAAAAATATAAAAATTGCAATGTAAGAGTAGACTAATATGAAAAACCTAAGAATTTGGTTTTTGTCACCTGAACGCAGGCGGAGCCGCGGACAATGCTTGTATATATATAAGGATTTAAGGAGTAATTTTAAACTCCTACTCCTCCAAATAGTAATTAACACCTAGATCAAAACTGCCGGTTTTGGCTACGTTCAAAGTTTGGCACTTTGGGTAACTGTACAAAGTTGGACTCTTGCGGTCACACATGTTTGCCAGATGAATGAATGAAAGTTAGGCCACTGTGGTCCAACACCTACGTGTTTCATCGAATAAAAGGTAGTCAAATGAACGTAACGAACTATTTATTATATATTTTACTGTACGAATTCTCTTACTTTGTTATTCATTGCACATAAACCTAAATAGTTGAAATATTGAAAGTTCATTTAAAAATATATTTAATGTAAATATATGCTTTTATGAAAGATATTTACTATGTTAATATTATATAATATAAAAGCAATATGTACGTATGTATATAAAAACTACCGCATATTGATCTACCTACTTACATTATTTAAAAAAATAATCACTTAATAGCCTCATAAAAGTAGGTCACATCTGAATATTGAGTCTGAAATAAAATAAACGATGCTATGTATCCTGTCTAAATTAATCTTGATATTCCATTTTGTACGTTTTGGCTGATATGATTAATGATATTTATGCGGGATTTTCATCTTTTAGATATTTAGGATATTTCATTGAAACATTTGTATAACATTGCAATTTCATTGCATCGTTCGATATGTAGATTTTTAATACGTAGAGAATAGTATTGTCTATCTATACATACATATAATAATATTCTGAGTCGAATCTGTACATCAAATATTTTTTGGTAAATCTTATTGAAATAGTTATTATATTATCGACACAGACGCCGAATCGATAGTTTTAAATAAAACTATCTTTTTGGATTATTTCGTTTCTATAGTTTTAAGGATATCGTTTTTAGAATTTTTGCCTATCTGTCTGTCTGTCAGTCTGGGAAATCATCACGAGAAAGCCACTGGAGTGATTCTGATGAAATTTAGTATGATGATAGTTGGTTATCCGGGTCAATATAAATAAAATATGTTGGGACATTAACACTAATATATAGGATACTTTTTACTGCGGAAAAATATCTTATCTCTGAGAAATCTATAAATAATTAACAAACCCGAGCGGAGCAAGATATCGTACAGCTAAAATTAATTTTCATATTAAATTAATAATCTTTATTGTTAGGTACATATATTCATTTATATTTTTACAAGGAAAACTTCGTTCTATTTTAATTATGTTATACTATTTTGAATTAACGAGAAACATATTTTCCGGTTGAGATAACCGAGTTTTTAGGCAGCACTAAAAAACACTAAATGTACAGAAATTATTTTGACAGTTCGTAACCATTCTGCTTGATTGATTGATGATTTCAGCTAAGCTAATTCTTCTTAATAAATAATTTACAGGCAATATTTAAAAATTCCAATAATTTTAGTAACAATATTATTTTCATACAGTAAAGTAACTTAATTTGTATCAGGGACATTTTAAACACCTAATAATATTTTTTCGTAATACTTTCTTAGCTCTACGCAAATATTTGATATTTTAATTTATA